GGAAGCGTACAATTGTGCAAAATGTCTTGGTCTGCTGAAGCATTAAGATTTCTTTTACTGGAACTAAGGGTCCAAGCCCAACCCCTGAAAAACCACCCCATAGCATTATCCCTCCTCCACCAAACTTTACAGTTGGCACAGTGCAGTCAGGTAGGTAACGTTCCCCTGGCATTCACCAAACCCAGACTCGTTCATCAGACTGCCAGATAGAGAAGCGTGTTTCATCACTCCACAGAACGTTTCCACTGCTCCAGAGTCCAGTGGCAGTGTGCTTTACTCTGCGCCATCCGACGCTTAGCATTGGACTTGGTGATGTAAGGCTTGCATGCAGCTGCTTGGCCATGCCATCAAGCTCCACAGTTTTTGTGCTCATGTTAATGCAAGAGGAGGTTTGGAACTCAGTTTTTGAGTCAGCAGAGTGACTCTTATGCACTATGAACCTCAGCACTCGGCGACCCCGCTCTGAAACTAGGTAAGCTTTCGCTTGGTCTTTAGCTTTTGGTAGCTATTGATAATTTTGAACAGATCAAGCTTGGTGGAACAGTTTTGTTAAAGCTGTGTGGGCTACAAGCTACATCAGCCTTGTGATTGGTGAGCGTAATGCTTAAGTAAGCACTACCCAAGATTAGTTTACATCAGAAGGAGAATTTTGAAGAAATACATTGGTCATTTATTGGGCACTGGAACATTATGAATGAATTTTGTTCATTGTATATTGTTTGCCCACAAGAACAGCCTAATTAAAAAGAAAACACTGGGGTTCCCTGGGACTTCAAATCAAATTGAATTAACTTAAATTTTGAAATGTCACCTATCTTTGTCAAGGATGCTGTGGAGCTTGGGGTCATTTTCATTGGAACAGAGAATCATGGGTACTCAGTTAGCAAGTGTGTGCCTAAGGGAACCAGAGGGAACAAATGGAAGTGCGGTGTGTTGATGGAGACGCCCGACCGTCAGTTCGTCTTCATGTGTGAGGAGGAGCGGGACCAGAACGAGTGGCTAGTGGCGCTGAGGCAGGTCATCTCAAAGCCCATGCTGCCGCAGGATTACACCAGTAAGACATGACTCTCAGTGATGTGGGTGTTGCCACACACACACCAAAAATTGAAATGAAATGAGCCATGCATTGTAGTGAACTTGTTCAGGATTTGATGTTTAGTATATCACTCACTGTTTATTCTGGTTCCTTTTTACAGCAGAGGCCAACATCCGCAGAAGAAGATGACCCTGGGACGCTGCAAGGGACAAAGGGACTGTTAGCACTGACCATTGGACTTCCTCACTGCCTGTTTACTTCCATCACATTCAGAGCCTGTGGGATCATAGCACACTGTCTGAAATTCAAACTGACCCCTAGCACATCTTTCACAACAGCTTTGCTGCAAAGCACGTGTAAGTCTTGGGTGGAGAAAGCATTGCACAATTTAGTATGTTCCCTCCACAGGCACAACTCTACAGTCAGTTCTCAAAGCGAATTAGGTGTCTTGCAGCAGGGAACAATTACAAAATGTTGCAGTGCTGCGTCCTTCCTGGATATGACTTTTAAAATTTTGTTTTGTTGAAGGACCACCATCCTGAGCTCTCACTATACAACCTCCGGGGAGCTTCTGTTTGAACCCGGTTATCCAAGGCTGTTTGATTGAATTGAAGCTGTTTTGTACATATATTTTTATCAAACAAAGACACAAGTGGCGAGTTTCCTTGCTAATGAAAAACTGAACATAATAAAAACACCAGATTTACATTGCATTACAAGTGTTGCATTGAGGTAGTTTATTTCTTATAAATCAAATCCCAATGTCCCATATGTTAAAACTGCACCTCAGAGTGATGAAAAAGGAAAACTGTTTCCTCTTGCATTACAGTTTTGTTAAAGCTGTGTATAGATTGGTCATTTATTGGACACTTTAGTGTCCAAATACATTGTTTTGAGAACTCAAGGTGGAAGAACAGTGCTCCCCTGAGCCTGTCTCCAGTTATTAGTGGAGATTAGTATAGTTTCTGGAGCAGAAACTAGACAAATAATCTGGATAGTCTGTGATAATTTAATTAATGCAGATTACATTTAAGCAAACACTGTAATGAGGGCCTATACTAATATATGCATTGGATAATACAATAATGCGCAATGGTTGTGGCAGATTTAATTTTTTTTTCCCCAATATCTCAAAAGTAAATAAATAGACATTGTGCACTAAAATGCAGAAAATATCATATTTAGGTTTGTGTCTTATAGAGCCTAAGTTAACTTATTTTCATAATTTTATATTAAAGGTTAGACTTGAATTTTTAAGATTTCATGATTTTGCCTCTTGGTCTGTTAGATTGTCCTGTTATGCTGTCATAAAGGCTATTCACATGAGATATACCTGAGACAGCAATTAATTCACATATTCATTGAAAACAAAACTATTCTGGATGGGATATACAGAGACGTTTAAATACTTAAAGTAAAGACAAAGAAAAGGTACCCAAATAAAAGAGAACCTCTATTAACTTAACAATTGTGGAAAAAGTGAGATTTAGCAGCAAAACTGCATAGGAAACATTTCACACATTCAGCCAACAAAACAGTACAATCTTCACTTTTTTAGAATATGTATTTTGCAAAATACATTTAAATTCAGAATATTTATGCAGCTAATTTGGTGACATTTATTGGGCTAATGTCAAATATTTACATATGTTCTAAAATACATTAGAAATATTTCAAACATATTGTTTTTCCATATAGTTTACTGTAGCTTAAACTGAGCAGCAAAAGACAGATATGTCAGAGGTTTTTGAATAAGCAGAATAATACCACCTTGAGGCAGAATGATAGAAATGATTAAATATGTTATTCAGGAGTCTGTAAAAATAGTAAATGTTATTATTTCAGCAGTTGGCTTAGTACATAAAAATCCCTTTAGTGGAGAAATAAAACATAGACTAGTAGTGTCAAACACTGATCCTGGAGTCTGGTTTAGTGTTCTCCCTCATTTATTACACCTAATAAAGCTGATAATTAAATAATGAGTTGAATAAGGTCTGGCAGAGAAATAACCTATTACACACCACTATGGCTGGTGTACTATTTTGACATACTATGTAGTCAGAGTTGGGATGTAACTGAATACAAATATTGGGAGTATGTATTCAGAATATAGAAAGTAAGCATCTGTATTCAGTTAAGTTACATTTTTAAAAGGCAGTATTCGGTATACAGTTATTTTTACATTTGTAGGAGAATACTTTTAGAAAACATATCTACTACATTAAACAAACAAAACAAAACAAAAAAAAACATAAAAAAACACCATTAAAGCTTGTTTATTAACTATTTTAGAATAAGTGCATGGCATATAGCAAACGTGCGTTCTAAAGAATTCTAGAGGACCTAAATTAAAGGCTTCTTTACAACCAGTTCCTGTTAAGTTCCTGCTAAAGCCTGAGTAGACTGATAAACCAAAATGCTGAGCTAGTTATTAATCTCACTATTACTGAGCTCTTTTGAGGGATGATGATACTAATAATCTCCTCAGTAGTGGACATGTTTGAGAGTGATAAATTTAGCATCCGTGTTGTGCTGACGTCTTGCTCAGGGGATTGTGGGAGCAGCCGTAAACTGGAGTAGGCAATAAAAGAAAAAAAAAAGAATTTTCAGAAATTCATTTACATGATAAATTTAAGCTAATTTTTCCTGAAACGTATTAACAGAATAATTACATGAAAAAAACTGCCAACATAACAGTGAGGGACAATGTGAATTAAGTAAAAAGAAATAAAAGAAAATGAAAAGATTTTTTTTCCATGCGCCTTAACAAGATGTATTCTAAATGTATTTCGAATGCATCACTTTTTTATTTGTTATAACAGAATATGTTACTGAATACTTTTAGGACAAGGTATTCAGTATTCAGCCTTTACTACTTTTTCAGAACATTTTCCCCAACATTTAGTATGCAGAATTGGGTAAAGTACTTTGACTGAATACTGAATACACTGCCCTAGATGTATTCAGTAAAGTATTCTAATACAATATACAAGAAAGTAATGTAAAGTAATGTGTCAGAATATGTTTAGAATACATTCACAATACATATCAGTAAAGCAGATAGGATTTTCATTTATTTCACATTTGTCCTCACTGTTTCCGGTAGTAGTTGTTTTGAAGGTATATTTCATGAAATTATTTATTATAAAATTAATTATTCAAACTAATACAAAAATGAATACAAAATTATCAAAAATTATTTTGATTCTTATCCCTTGCTTTATACCACTGCTGCTCCCATAATCCCACTGACCTTTCTTGACCTAAGATAAAGGTAAGAAAAATCTAAGCGAAGTAAAAAAAATCTAATTTGACTATAAAATGAGTAGCTATGTGATTTTCAGTTAATGATATGTATGTACCTTTCCATGGAAAGCATGCACAAGTCCAGTACTCTGCCAAAGCTAAGCTTATCACTCAAGAACATGTCCACTACTCAGTTCTGCCATCACTCAAAAGAGTTTCCTAATGCTCAGGTTAATAACTGGCTCATCACAGTGATTTATCAATCTGTTCAGGCTTCAGAAGTAACTTCACTGTTTGTAAATAGCCCATTTTTTCAGTTCCTCTTTAGAGTAAGTCCTTATATGCTGTGCTCTGATTTTAAAATAGTTAATAAATAAGCAGTTGATGGTGTTTTGTTGAAAGATGGCATGATTCTTTTCAAAATTTAGTAGGTAAGTATTGTCAAAGAATTGTTCTAAAAATGTAAAAAGTAACTGTATTCTGAATACTGCCTTTACAAAATGTAACCAGGACTGAATACAGACGCTTAATTTCTGTATTCTGAATGTATTCCGTTACACCACATCCCTATTAGCGCGGTAGTTTGAGGTTTTGGACTCTTTTCGCAGCCCCTGACACAGACAGCTCAATTCAGCTCCTGCCCCCTAGGGGGCGGTATAAGCTACTACTTGAACAAACAGGCCTGCTCAGTCAAATCCTCGTTTTCCTGTCGGATATCGACTTGTGTGTGCCTTGTGGCGCTCCGTACTCACCGGCTGCAGCGGGTCAGACGCACTGCCGTTCGCTCTAACCGTCAGCCACGGACATGTCCGGAGCTCACAGTGAAGGAGAGAGTGTCTACTTCAGCAGTTAGCGTGTTTCTGCGGTAATGAAGTGAAGCGCTGCTGAGTGTCTGTCAGAAAGAAAGCAGAAGAGCTCAGAAACAGGAGTAAACTCGTCCGTCCGTTTTGTCCTACAGCCGCCGCGCAGGCCCGCCTCCCTCACCGGCAGCGCAGCGTTAGCTCGTCAGCTACATGCTTCTGCTGTTTTGACACGGTGTACGCTGTAAGGATGAGGAAGGACGTGCGGATATTACTAGTCGGAGAACGTGAGTGAGCTTTTCATCCGTGTCCTTCAGCAGTGACCACCTTTATATGTCTCAGCGCTGTGTCTCGCGGCAGCGAGCTAATGTAGCTAGTTAGCAGGTTTACGCAAATCCTTCATTGAGGCGCTTAACAATGTCCCCTCAGTCCAGTCTGAGCTTTCAGCCCACCTTGTTTGGGGTTAAAATGTTGATGTGATCAGAGAGGCCACAGATGGATAAGTTTAAGGTTTATAGTTTGGACTTTCCTCAGTGCTGTTGTGTCTCATATTCTACACTCTTCACACTGAGCTGGTCACATAACCGCAGGTCGTAGGTGCAGGACCAGCGTGTGTGTTTACAACGGGAAGGCTCATCAGAGCCAGAGCTGACAGTAGCTGTGAGCCCGTTTGCTCGGCTGTTGAGTTGTGCCTCCCATCCTTTTTCATAGTTGTCGAGACTATTTATAACTCTTCTGGTACTGCGAGTGGTGACAGCTTATGGAGAGGGCAGCCAGAAGGGTACGTGTCAGAGTTAACGTCTCTGACTGCTCGGGAAAAGCGACTAAATCTTAAACATAAAAGGGCAGCTCCACACATTTTTCACAATTTCTACATGATTAAATACATGATGAAATTAATTAAGACTGGTGCTAGGCAATATGACAATATATATGGTTATCGTGAAAACATCACAATACAATGCAGTATGCTTTTCTGAACGTTATCGTGGATGTCATCATTACTTGAAAAACACTGACCAGCTGCCTGTTTCATTATAAAGGGTGCAAAATTAGTCCCGTTCAACTGGATTTAGTGCAACACAATATGCCAAGTATTGAAAAAAAAATGCTTTCACAGTTCTTGATAGTATATTTAGCAATACTTTTTTTTCTGTTCCAACTGATCATGTTGCCCATTTCTAGTCAAGATGTAAATAAACCCATGCAGAATGGTTTAACATGAAATGCTCCATTCTAGAGAAACTTACTGAGTCTGAATTGTTCACAGTGGTGGTGGTAGGAACCTGATGTCTGAAGAGTTTAATGTTTCTGAAAGCTCCCTCACAAAAAGTTATTACACATGATGGTTATGAATATGCTGCCTGATTTCTGATACATTGTTTTATGATAGTTTTGTGGTAAGGTTTTGGCCTAAAACCTTTCATTTTCCACTATTTTAACATGATAAACATAACTCATAAGACATGTATTCGTTCACTAGTGGTTATGGATAATGCATAAATTGGTTATATTTGTGTTTGTGTAATGAAATCTGAGTCTGTATCTTTCTGTGCGAGCCACTTTACATCAAACCACTCTGACTGACTTTGATTACATCACAGCAATGGAATTTTGCAACAATTTTGAAAAATCTGTTGAATTCCCCTGTAAGGAGCCTCACAGGCTGCCTGATCATCATTTCTACTCCTTTGGAGCAATTTCATTTCAGTAATTTAGGAATCTGGCCATTGTCTAGTAAGTATCCATACAATATCTTTCTTTGTGCAGCACAGGGTACCGTACCTGTCAAAGGTTTGGATTTATTTTTGGTCATTTTTCGGCTACTTACACTGAACGCATTTGGAGGAACTTGCCAGATGGCTTTTTAGGAAGTTGAGAGAATGCCAAGAGTGTGCAAAGCTGTCAGTGCTTGCTATAACAAATCTAAACCAGAAGATTTGGCACTGCATAATACATCGATTAGTCTTATGCTGCAGTTCTGCTGTCACTGTTACTCTAAAATGTAGAAAATGTTAAAAATAAGGGCAGCCCTTCTATGATTACATGTGTCTAGATTTTTGGCTGGTAGTTTACGGTGTCTATTAATAGCTACTGACTCTGACATTTTTTCCCCCGGCACAGCTAAAGTGGGGAAGACGTCACTGATCATGTCCCTTGTCAGTGAAGAATTCCCTGATGAGGTGAAGTATTTCATACTGCACACTCACTGGGCCCAGTGATGAAGTAAATTAGCAATATTATTTAACTCTGTGTTGACTGTACCAATTGTCCATGTAATTTTTTGAATCCCTTACAAATTTTACTAACATATTACTAGCATTTTTAAACCATCTGCAACAATTGTTGCTACTCTTAAGGTCCCTCTCCGCGCTGAGGAAATCACCATTCCTGCTGATGTCACCCCTGAGAGAGTGCCTACACACATAGTGGACTACTCAGGTAAAACCATCTGGCTTACACAACAGCACTGAGTCTCACTCAGGAACGTGTTTCCACCAGACACTGCAGTGTTACTCGGCTGATGTAAAAAAAAAAAAAAATACTGTTTTGCTGAGCTCCTGAACTGATTTCTGCCTCTTGTTTCGTAACTTGCTATGTCACATTCTGTACTCTGTAGAAGCAGAGCAGTCGGATGAACAGCTATATCAAGAAATATCTAAGGTGAGACTGATTTCACTGAAATAGTTGGATTTAGACTGAATTGTCGAAGTGGTATTTTTGGCCCACTTGTATTATTATCTCTGTTACAGGCAAACGTTATATGCATAGTGTACTCAGTAAACAACAAAAAATCCATTGAGAAGGTAGGCTTGTTTTTATTGGAATGAATACATAAATATTTTATTGTTCTAGTGTTTTTCTGACTGGTGTTTTATGTGTTAGTGTTGTCGTGGCATTTCATAGTTTTATTGTCTTTACTGTAGGTGACGAGCCACTGGATTCCCCTCATAAACGACAGAACAGACAAGGACAGCAGGTGTGTGAATGTGTCTGCAGTTCATGGTCATATCAGTATAGGTTCCTTAAATGTTTGACCTGTTCATCTGAATGACATTCCAGTATCACTGTGGAATTTTCCTTTACTGATTAAGAGTTGCATTTCAGAATTCAATAACGTGAATGAATAAAGGCAGCAACAGTATGCAGAGACCAGCAACATGACAGGTTTATCTCTGCTGATTAGAAGAGACTATTGCATTATTTTATGTGTTTGTTATAGGTGCTGAACATTATTATATAGTAGTTGTAAGAATCATGGCAAAGTTATTGATGACTTAAAGGGCCCATATTGTACATTTTTCTTGTATTTAATTTTTTTCTTTGAGGTCTACTTACAATGTGTAAGTTTATATACCATAAACAGTTATAATTCATTTTGCATGATCATTTTCCATGATCATTTTCCAGCCTCTGTTCATCCCTAGAATTAAACAGGCTTTTTTGTTACTGTGCCTTTTCTTTTTTTTCTTTTACTGTGTACTTTTCATTGTAATGGACTTGTTGGAGTATGTTTACTGTGGATTTGCATGTCTTTATGATCTCTGACTATATGATCAATATTGCAGTCCTGAACTAAATAACTTCATGTAATGCTTTACGAAATGCTTTGCAGAGTGCCGCTGATTCTGGTGGGCAATAAGTCAGATCTGGTGGAGCACAGCAGCATGGAGACTATTCTGCCCATCATGAACCAATTCTCAGAAATCGAGACTTGTGTTGAGGTAAGACAAAGCACTCAATAAGAGCTGAAAACTTTAGGGCTGTTTTTGTGGATTGAGGATTTTTGTGGATTAAGACTAGTCTTGGATTTTAATCAGTCAATCTTTTAGTGTAAGGTTAGGATTAATCTTGTTCAGACATTCTGATTTTAGATGATGTATCTGAACAATATGTTCATTTTGCTGTATGCAGGATAATAAAATCAGCTAGAGTTAGAGCCAATGGAAATTACAGCCTCGTGATAATTTACTGTCATAGACAGCAGGATCATGGAGGAAAGTGGCATTACCTGGTGGCTCATGTGACTACCAGCCATGTCTTACTGGTGGGATTAGTTTCAGTCTAAAAGCAGACAGAGGCTTTACAAGCTACATGAACACAGAGCTTACTGTGTACAGCAAATCAGATTAATCCCTCATGTTTGGACTGGGCTGTGATTCCTGTCTTGCCTTTTTCACATCTGTGAAGAATGATTGGGAAATGAAATGTTCTCTGCTGCCTTTTCAGATTGTATTGGTTTTAGACTGGATTGTAACAGGCTTATAATTGAAATGTTTTGACTGTTAAATCCATTCTGTCATATTTAAGTGGTCAGTGGGTAAAATAAAGTATTTCAGTGTTTGAAATGGATCAGATCTAACACTGTAGCTAACTTTATAGATGTCACTTGTCATGTTAGTGATTTAAAAGTGCAATTAATTACTAAGAATTCATATTTAAAATCTAGAATTTGTCAAAAACTTTGTTGCTCTTCCTCAGTGTTCAGCGAAAAACCTGAAGAATATCTCCGAGTTGTTCTACTATGCCCAGAAAGCTGTTCTGCATCCTACAGGGCCCCTGTATTGCCCAGAGGAAAAGGAGGTAATAGACTTACATATACTGAATACTTCTATTATGCCTCTACATTTGGGCTCTTCACTTTTGCCAGAGTCCAGCGCTACTGCTCGTGACTTTCCTCTGATTTCCTAATTACATTAGTAGCTAACAAAAGAGGAGCTTTTTTGCCCCATTTCAAACCTAGTGAGTTTTGCTGTTTAGGTAGAACAGCAGTATTCAATATGACCCTCGGATAAAGACCGTTGAGTGCTAGTTTGTTCTTTCAGTAAAAGGTTTTTTACCTGTTTTTGTTACAGATGAAACCTTCTTGCATCAAAGCACTTACTCGCATCTTCAAAATATCAGACTTGGACAACGATGGCATTTTGAACGACAATGAGCTCAATTTCTTCCAAGTATGAATCTCTCACGCTATCCCTCATTCCTGATTCTGCTTTTAGATCATTCTTTCTTAAAAAAAAATTAAAAAGGGATGAAATTATTCATGTAGGTTCAGTTAGCTTGAAAGTGAGGTGCTTCTTTTTCACAGAGGACATGCTTTAACATGCCTTTGGCTCCTCAAGCCCTGGAGGACGTGAAAAATGTTGTGCGGCGAAACATGACGGATGGCGTGAAGGACAACGGCCTCACTCTTAAAGGTCAGCTGAGCTGGTCAGCAGCCCTCACCCTCTTTTGTCCCATCACAGAATTCTCACACTTATTCACTTATTCTCAGTTACTAAAATAATTCTGTAGTTTATGTTAGTTTCATAGTTACTGAATACTTTACAGCAAGTAAATAAGAAGCCTTTAGATTAATAACTGAATAATAAGCCTCAAGATTAAGAGGTTAAAACATGCATTTCTAACTTGCTTCCATGTTCTTCTTCATCCAGGTTTCTTGTTCCTGCACACTCTGTTCATCCAGAGAGGAAGGCACGAGACCACATGGACTGTGCTTCGCAGGTTTGGATATGATGATGACCTGGAGCTGACCCAGGAATACCTGTTTCCATTGTGAGTCCTACCCGATGCCCAGTGTTTAGTCTACAGTAGTAGTAAATTCAGCAGCCTCTGCTGAGGCAAGTAAAACCGTAAATATATTTAAAATGTGTAAACATGTTTTGAAAACAGTGAGTTTCTTATATTTTCTGACTGATATTTGTAGGTTTTTATGGCCCTTTGCACAGTTCTTAGTTTTTTTGTGCGAGCCATCAATTCCACCTGCCTCAAAATGTGCTTTATAGGACCAACAAGCACAGATTCAGCCCAACAGTGGCTATAAGCAGGGCACAACAATGTAAAGTGAATGTAACTCCAGCTTAAAGCAGCTTTATAATTCTCTTTGGACACAGCTTTTTATGCACCTTTATTCCCTCATACATGCTCTGAAATCTTTTGTTGACAAACCAGTCTCACTGTGTAGTGCTTTTTTTTTTTTAAGCCAGATCTCTATAGCAGTACATGGAGCACCTTACTGCAGCTCAAATGTCACATGTTCTAGTCTGTTGGTCTAGTGTTCGCACACAGTATCAAAGTCTAATCTCTCTGTGTAGGTTATTCTGTTGACATTCTCTGCCACTGCCAGGAGCAGCCCAGGGTGTAATCAAGCTAACCCCTTTTGTTTCTCCAGGTTAAAAATACCTCCAGACTGCACCACAGAGCTGAATCACAATGCTTACCTCTTCCTGCAAAGTGTCTTTGACAAGCATGACAAGGTGAGCCCTTGAACTCTGATTATCCTGCCTAATTTCACACAACTGACTTTCAGGATAGCTGTTGAGCTCCATCTAGTGACAGGTAAATTGATCAAGGCAAGGTAGCACAATAAATATATGGTATATGAAGGTAAACATAAATCGGTTCTTTTCAGACACCAGTTGTCTGTAGTAAAGTATAAGTACATTGATTGGTTGGATGAGTAAGAATAATAATAATAGAATGACCTTCTGATTAAAACCAAGCTGTGTTTCAGGACCGAGACTGTGCGCTGTCTCCTGATGAGCTGAAGGATCTTTTTAAAGTCTTCCCCTACATGCCCTGGGGCCCTGATGTCAACAATACAGTGTGCACAAATGAGCAGGGCTGGATCACTTACCAGGGCTACCTGTCCCAGTGGACGTAAGTACTAATGCACTAATGACTAATAAACAGGCAATCAGTGTTACTTACTACACTTTGATTTACATGATGTGTGGCCATGGTCATGGGCAGCTGCTTTACTTAGCTTGTGATCTCCTATTCAGGCTAACAACATACCTGGACGTGCAGCGCTGCTTGGAGTACCTGGGTTACCTTGGTTACTCTATCATTCATGAGCAGGACTCACAGGCTGCTGCCGTGACAGGTGAGAGAAAGAGAGTGATTAATCTGACCATTGTGCCTCCTTCAGTTCTTCTCTCGTTGCTGCTGTTATCATTCATTCAGAGTTTCAACTGTGTGACAAGCAGTTTCTTCTTTTATGGTGATACGATATGCAGTGATACAATAGAAGCTGTATCACCCCCAGCGTTTCCTGTAATGTACTGCAGTCTGTCATGTTGACGAGAACAATATTGTTGACAGGAAGAATGTACATGAAGAACCGATGAACTGAACCGAACAACTGTTCAACCACTGCTATCGGTTAAAGAAATGGGTCATTTCAAAAATGAAAAAAAAAAAACGTGAAAGCTTCTATAAAATTGACGGCATCTTGCAAAATCCTGTAGCTGTACTCAAAGTATTTTTTAATATGAATTTTTGACGTTTGGCCCTTTTCCTAATTTTTGTGATTTTTTTTTTTTTTTTCTTTTCTTCCTTGTATGTGCACTCTAAGCCCTTTACTTTTAACTTGCTTCAGTAGTGAGTGGTAAAAATAACTTTTGAATATAGAACTTTCACTAGTCCTTCATTGTATATTCTTCATCAGCTTTTTAGTTTTTGGTCATGCAATCATGAACATAAAGTTGAAAGCCTCTCTTTTTAAACAAAACTGGGTTCTTACATAGAGTATTCTTAATACCGTTCCAGGCCATTTACTTTATGTACATGTTTATTCCCGGGTCAGCCTCTCAATCCCAAGTTCTACAGGTCATACAAAAAACACTTTAATATCTCAGTGCATTAGTATGGTATTCAGTTGATGAGTGAGCTTATAAGTCTGTGTATATCAAGTTTTTTACAACTTCAGACGTGGCTCAGACAGATTTTTAATTGATATTTTATTACATCACGTCCTTTATTTTAGGCTTGTTGATTAAGAGTCAATTGCCAAGTAATGACAAATGGTTATTGGTCAAAATAATTTGGCAAAATTGGCATCCTAGTTGATAGTTCTTTTTGTAGGCATTATCTACAACTTAGAGGAATTGTTAGCTAGTTGTTGCAAGTCTTTTGTGTGTGTTAGAGAGAGAGAGAAAGAAAGGCAGAATTTATTTTTTAATCTATCTACATTGTGTGTCCCTGTGCTGCCTTCCTCTTTGTTTATCTCTGTTGTTTGGTATAGTCACCAGGAACAAGCGCATTGACCTGCAGAAGAAGCAGACCCAGCGCAATGTGTTCCGCTGCAATGTTCTGGGAGCACGAGGCAGTGGCAAAAGTGGCTTCCTGCAGGCCTTCTTGGGAAGGAACCTTGCTGTGAGTACTGTGGGCTTACAGTAAACTAACTCCTTTAATTCAGTGCTGTTCTCTGACTTTTTTAAAATGATCTCCACATGCAGCGACAGCGGAGAATTAGGGAAGACCACAAATCCTACTACGCTATCAGCACTGCGTATGTCTACGGGCAGGAGAAGTACTTGCTTGTAAGTTAAAACTGTACCATCCTTAAAAAACTGAGCATATTTACAGGTATGATGTTGGTCATATATCTAAACCCGTCTCTGTTACAGCTACATGAGGTTCTCCCGGACGTTGATTTCCTCTCAGAAGCTGATCTGGCCTGTGACGTTGTCTGTCTGGTTTACGACATCAGTAACCCCCGCTCCTTTGAGTACTGCGCAAAGGCCTATAAGGTTGGTGATCTGTATTTAAAGCATCACTTTAGAACGTGACATTTAAGGGTGTAAAATACATCAGTGCATCAGGACGCATCAATCTTAAGGTGACAATTCAACTGCCTGGATTTTGTGATGTTAGTAGAATTGTTTAGAACTAATGTGAGTAATATTTTGTTAATATGTGCTCATTTTTTGGACTATGTGAGAAAGTAAAAGTCTAAAAATGCTTTTAGTTTTTATTGTCTATGTTTTCTTGTCTATATGTTTATATATCTAGTCCAATTTGTGTCTTCAGTTTCATTTAAAAAAATAATTCAGAGTCGTACCAAATATGAAAATCAAATTGAATTGTTCTGAAGTTTGAGCTTATATTATGCACTGAATCTTCCTATTAACACAGTTATAAGATGAGGCATTTACAGCCCTGGTGAATTTACTTATCCACTGATTGAAAACAAACAGCATACTTGTAGTTGTGATTTTACCAAGCCACTAATCTGATTCCATAGGTGAAGTTAGTCTGTCAGAAATCACCATAGCAATCTCATTGCTGTTCAGCTTCACCCTGTCTGTTGTCTCCACAGAAGTACTTTATGGACAGCAAGACACCGTGTATGATTATCGCTGCCAAGTCAGACCTGCACGAGGTCCGACAGCACTACAGCCTGTCTCCACTGGACTTCTGCAGGAGACACAAGCTGCACCCGCCCCAGCCGTTCACCTGCAACACGGCCGACGCACCCAGCAAAGACATCTACACCAAACTCACCACCATGGCCATGTATCCGTGAGTAGCCACCACTACCTTCCCTCTGTCCCTCTACGGTCTTTCCCATCCTGCATGGCTCCACTGGCTGTCCTTCTCTGTATTGTGGCTATTTAGAACTGTTCTCCTCTCCTTTTCTCTTTTTGTCCTTTTTTCTTTCTGTGTTAGATGAGTTTGGTATGGAGTTTTAACAACTAAGAACTAGTGCTATATGCAGTAGCAGTCTGAAATTTATTTAGATTTGGCAATTTTCAAAATTACATCAAAGAGAAATTCCACAAAAAATGCAAAATGTCTGTATATTTTAATAAGTTTTTATTTACATCTTGAATGTGTCCTGATATGCAGTGGTGCAGTGTAGAGAAACTTAACAACTTGAATTTTTCAACAGTGTCAATGACAGGAACCAGAGGTTCTGCAACTTGCAGCCATTTTATTTTCTATCCAGAATAACCAGTGAACCTATACATGTTTATATGTAATGTTGATAATGATTAAACAGAAGTGAATCTGAAGAAGTTTTCTTTAGGTACTATTTTGCCTTACAAAGCACTGCATGTTCTTCCCTGTGATGAATAAATTAAAAAATGTGTTTTAAGCCAAAAGCCTGTTTCAAACTATCGTAAAACCGTGTTCAGGCATCATAACCATTTCATGGATTAACTTTCTGTGAGGCATTTTTTAGAGACATTAACCTCTTCATATGTCTGGTTCCGGTTACCACCATAGTGGACAATTCTCTCTCAACAAGTTTCTCTAGAATGGCATGTTTCATTCTGATGTTTACGTCTTATTGATTCAATTCTGTTGAAATTTTCGGTGGGAAAATCTGTGGAAGGGCACTGCTTCATTCCTACTCCTAAATGCATTCATCAGAACATTATTAACCCATTGTTTTGTTAAGGTAGTGTAGCAAAAAGCAGGAAACATAGAGCCATAGATGTAACTCCTCAGATATACTCGGATCTCTTCTAGTTTGTATGAAATGAAGTGGTGATTTCTTTTGGTACTAGGACAAAGAACATTAAACAAAGAATGAACTAAAGATTGGTTTCTGTTTCACTGTGTGACTGTGTTTAAGGGTAGATTAAAACAACCTACTCAGCTGTGTAAATAAAAGAAGACTTCAGCTGAATCACACTTCCCCTTTAGGTTCCAATATTGACTGCAATTCATCAGCAGGGAGTTAATTACAACAAAGCTATTCAGAGAGAAATTTTGATTTGGCAAGGAAGTTCAGAATTTCTCTAGGGAGAACTGTTGGGCTTCAGCATTTGTTTTTGTGGGTTTAGGATGCTCCATAATATTAGTATTTGAGATTAGGTGGCACAGATGGGTAGTCTTGCCCAAGGGTTGTTTCCGTTTGTGTACGGGAGTAGTTCTCAAATAGTCTGTTTGTTAAAGCTTTGTCTGTGTGCTAGCCTGCAACATTTCCAGCTTCTCTTTCCTCGTCTTTCTCTAATGTGTCTGATCCACAGAGTTCCCTCAGAGTGCTTTTTACTGAACACCCCCTGCACTTTTCTTGCAGATGAAATGTTCTTAGGTGAATTGTTTACTTAGTCATATTATTTCTTTAAGTTCACAGCCAAAGAGGAGATATTGTTCTTTGAAGCATTCACTGGAAAGTTTTCTTTCTCCCGTTCAAGTGTTATTTTGGTTCTGAACTGAACGTGTGTTGGGAATTCGGAAATTGTGTTTACACCTAGTTTTGCCTCTTTGCATCCCTCCACAATATGTTTTCTTTGAAGAGTTGCTGGGAGGAGGTGCAGGAGCTCCACTCCTCCAGGATGAATCTTTTAGGCTAAAGCTGGACGTGCATCTCATGTGACTCTGACCTGCTCTTCCTCGTGTGTGTCTCCGCAGCCACGCCAAGCTCCGCTGCATGTGTGCCTGCAACAGGTGCACCTTTTGCATCTGTCAGAACCTGCTGAACTGTGAGCTCCTGCGCTCTGTCAGGACCAAACTCTACAGTGCTGTTCTGAACAGGTCTCTGAGTCCAACCCTGTCCACACCCCCTATGTGCCCCACCTCTTTGCCAAGCCAGCACTCCAGGGCCAATTTTAACCTCTGCTTCCTAACATGCCTCCTCTCTGCTGCTGGCTGGGTACCCCCACAGCTTTACGTTGCATATCCACCAATAAATGGTTGAGTTGTTCGGCGTTGGGTACTTAAACTGGCTCTTTCCAGTAGGGTGCACAGTATTTAGCGCCTGAAATATTCTTTGCGAATAAATGGGAAAATGTTTTGGAAATGGTCGTTTTGGAAAAGAGGTTGATAAATACAACCAATAACTTTGTGTCCCACGCACAAATGAATAGGCATTTTCCAAATAACTTTGTATATACTCATGCTGTGTCAGGTTGCATTCACATTGCCAGGCAGAAGTGGCACAAATCAGATTTTTTTTTTGCCTTAAAACCCATGTCAACATGGTTACAAATGTCTAAATATTGGTTTTAAAAGTAAAGAATGAGCATTTACAAGTGTTATAGTTGAGAAATATGTGTAAATTAATACAATTTAATAGTAGATAAATACTTAAAAAAATTCTGCTTCCTGCTCAGTGGGTGTGTTAGAACACATTATGATTGACAGTGGTGTCTTACTGGCAACATAAACAGCCCAGCGCCAGTGGCAGTGCCTCCACTGCAGGAAAATAGACCGCTTTGTTCTTCTTGACTGCTCTCTAAATGGTGGGGGAAAAAGTGCAAAATGAGATCAAGCTGTCTGTCATTTAGAGATCCAATTACATCTTATGATGGGTAGATCATGAACATATTGTGTCTGACATTTGAATGTTCAGCGCTAATGTTACACCCGTAACCTATGTTTGGCTAGCTAACTGCTGGACCGTGCTTCTAAGACAGAGGTCACACAAGATCCTGTTGGCACTATCATATTTGTGGACACTTTGGAGAAATTTCTCGTGTGCCTTATTGCGTGCCATAATTGCAGGGAAACGGTGTGAGCCTTGAGCCTTAGGAGTGCGTAGCTAACATAACACTGAGCTAACATATCATTTTTTTCCTACAGTTAAAGTGGACTGCTAGCTGTTGTGCTCTCATAAATGAAGTTAATTGCTTATAATAGGATCCTGCAGCATGCCAGTAGAAAGCTGCCACTTGCAAACAACTGGTAATAAACAGTCATAAAAAGCACCGTTAAGAAATTCAGAAAAGCTTGAATGCCCTACTTGGCTGAGCAGTGGCAGAGCAGTCACTTTATGTGAGGGAGAGAACAAGTAGCTGACGTACATATACTATGCTAACTCTGGTCACCTAAGCCAAATTTACTCCCATCCAACTCAAATTGAAAAGAAGAAAACACAAAAAATGTAAAAATCTCTCAACGCAAAAGACCAACAGCATTTATACTCTGCCAGTTCTTTTTAAAAGCATCACAAAAACTGTAGATAATAGAAAAAAATCATTAAAATGAGTAGATGGGGGCTTTAAAGCAGCACTTTGAGAATCGTTGTTTTTTGCTTTTGGGGTTGCGAAGTGTGTTTCACTTTTGCACCACAGTCGTAAACACACATTGCGCTTTGAGCCCCCCTCATGGACAGCTGTACATGTGTATTTGCTTTTCAGTTATTCCATAATTATCTAGTGTCAGGTGTAAACTCCATATCAGTTAAATATTCAGATTTCAAGATGAAATATATGTTACATTTATACACAGCCATAAAACAAAAATAAGGAAAAATAATTTTCCTTTTTTTTTTTGCAAGAGTCCAATTTCTAAACGCTTGGAAAAAGCAGAATTAACAAGTCATTTTTCAAAAGAGTTATAAATATACAGCTCGCACAGTGTAGATGATTTAAGGTGTAGAACAGAGAAGTTCTTTTTATTTTCCTGGTTGTCTCTTAGGGATATCATACAGTGTTTTTAACAGAACAGTGGAAGCCATTCAAGTTCAACAATACGTCTGATATCATCCTGACATATCAGTATTTTTATTAGCATGAAATCTCACTTTATTTAAAGGGTGTATCTATTTTCATACGGTATCGCAAAATTAGAAAAATTAATGTTCAGAGCAGTCTATAGACATTTAAAACTATCACCAGTCTGCCCTTCGAGAACTAAGTTTTAACCAAATCAAATCTAGATCTCAAAATCAGAAAACATATTGAACCCTTACTGTATTTGACCGTGCAACCCCTCAGTTGAAAATATATGTAATATTAAAATACATAGTGTGTCCCTACTTTATTTGAAAATTTTTGTGTTGCATCGTCTGTTAAGAGAGGTCATTAAGCGGCGTGTCTACATGTGTTCCCTGCACCTCTGGCTAGGTTTCCTTTACACAGCGCACTAAACTTTTGGAGTCACACTTAGCAGCTCTTATCTGGTCTTTTCTTGGTATTAGTGCTTTATTCATCCATCGTTCTCTGGTCAGGTTTTTTTTTTCTTTTCTGTTAGCAGCGGCCTGTGCTCTGAGTCTCATCAATCATGACCTAATCCAGCTAAGCTAGAGAGGGTCACATCCTGTCTGAACCACACACTGCTCAGAAGGCATTTGCATGGTGTCTGTTATTCTGAGTGCATGTTTTTGCAGATCCATTTTAGCAACATCTGACTACTGAAAATGGAATGGATATTTTATGCCTAGTAAAACATTGGCATTTTTAACCAGTTATTTCAGTGCACGGTGCTCTACTGAACACTGTAGTCTTTCTCCTGAAAGACTGGGCTTCATCCAAAATGCTAATATGGCTAATGCTTTAATGGAAGCTAGTGGGGACCAGTTAATACAACTTAATTTGCTTAATGTGACCCCTTTCCCCCCCCCTTGATGGTCTGTACTAGCTTTCAGTGGCTTTGATCATTAACAGCAGGGAGTCTTTAAGGTAGTTCTCTGTGAATTCAGGGTGTCTGTCTGTCCGTCCAGTAATGTTTGTTTATGTTAATCCTTTGAGGTGGATATGCAAACAGTAAATCTGCACTAACTCACTTTCACCCATCATCCTGCTGGGAGAAATGTGGCCTCAAGAGTATTTGATTCTTGTTGCTGCTGTTCTCCCTGTTTGTTTATATATTTATTTATTTATTTATTTAATTAACTATTTAGTGAATCTCGTAGATAACTCACAAATGGCAATCTAACAAATGATACAAATAAAATTTTAGGCCATTGTACATGAAAATGCATTGGGCATTTTTTCTCTTCAGTGTGTAACAATTTTTTTTTCATTGTGTGCTTTATTCAGATATTGGAGGAATGTTTCTCCAAAATGTAATAGATTATTTTCTTCTTTACTTGTCTCTTATGAAGTACAACACTAAAACTAACAATAGACTGAAAATGTCCATTGCACAAAAAGTTCATTATTTTGTCACCAAATTTGTGTTTCTGTGTGCGTTTTTGATTCATTTTAATTAAGTCCTTTGTCATGTTTTGTTCTTTCCCTCTGTAGGTGTTCATTCTCATGTGTTTGGCTGGCCCTCTTTCTTTTTGCACTGCATCTCTTTACCTCATTCTAACACTTGCCAGCATGTCTTATATCTCTGTTTCAGTAACTGTACTGTAAGACTAATGCTTAGTTCAGGGGTTTCAGGCAGGGACTGTCTTGTCATAAGCTGTTTTATATTAAGGTATGAAGAGTACTTGGTGTGTGTGTGTGTGTGTGTATGTTAGCATGTCTGCAGTGTTGTAATGGTTAACTGTACAACTTCTAACTCCTGGTATTTCTATTTCATAGGTGTGGACAGCTGTAAAGATGTTGTTTTTGCTGGTTTGGTGCATCTGTGCATTTGTTTGGTCTGAACTCTACTGTAGGTGGCAGTATTTTTCAGATTTAGCAGTTAACTGCCATCATAGTTCATTTAAGGCTCGCATATCAAAGGAATGAAAGTTGCTGGGGACCCTAGACAGGGCTTCTCTGAAGGTCTGGTCTGATGTCTCCACACCATTCTTTGTCATTTGACAGTTTGACTCACTATTAATAGCAAGCTACTAAAAATAAAACACACTAGGGATGGGTGATCCCACTGGTTTTCTTCTCAATTGAGTACCAAGGCTAGTGTCCCCAATCTCAATACTGATACTTTTAAATAACTTTTAAGCACATAAAAGGAATTAAAAATATATATATACAGTAGGGGTGTAACAATGCATCATGACCTTATGATACTGCAGTGCAAAATCTGACAGCGTGCATCATGAAGATATGATCAAATGCACTTGCATTGTTAAAAAAAAAAGTTCATGAACAGCCAGCCCAATCGACAACCCGCAAGCTCGCACATGCTTCCTCCAAAACTCATGAAGCACTGCTATATTGTTTACAGCTAACACAATGTCATTGGACAGTTCAGCTTGGAGTAGAACACTATCAGCTAGCATTACGCTTAGTGATAGGGGAGGACCATCCTACTCACCTATAGAGAGAGAGACCATTTACATTCTCTTGGACAGTCAAACTGTATGATAGGCCAATGCTTAGATGGTTGTGCCCCTCGAGAGCCCTGACGTAATGGAATTGGCACTTAGTGTTCTCCGCCAAGCGTGTTCATCTGTTCAGTAACGTTAATCTAGCAGCAGTTTGCTGCCTTTATATGTCTCTGAGGAAGCATGGATTAGCCTTCACCCAACCAGCTTGGTAACATTATATGATGGGGTAAACGTAATTAGTGGATGGAACTGGACATGACTAAAGTTTTGCTTTCTGTCTGCTATTTGTACTGCATTTCTGTAAGTTGTGTATGTGTAAAGAGAGAAGGGAGAAGGCGAACTGAAGAATATGTAGTTCCTATCCTGTGATCATTTGCTGCTTTTACCGATTCACTGATCTTTTCCCACTTTTTCCTCATCAACAGCACGTTTCATTCCATAGAAAGAACTTCGTTTTAATTAATGCTAAAAGAAAGCACTCATCATCTCAGAAGGAATGTTAAGATTGGACAAATTCATACTTCGGTGTCCACCCATCCCTAACACACACCACTCTGACCAGACGTTAGGCTGAGCTCGTGGTCCAAAGATTCACAAAAGTGGGCTTTATTCGGTGCAAACAAACATCTTAGAACAAATTATGGGTTCTCATCGCACAGCGAACTTTGATTTATTGATCATCAGTTTGGCCTTTTCTTAGCTGCGGTGTGGTGTGTGTGTCTGTGTGTGTGAGGTGCATGAACTGGGCAGCTGGTGTCACTGTGGGCTGTTTGGTTGTTGAATTGGCGTCCCGTGTGCATGTACACAAGGTTGGGGCCCCGGGTGGATGAACTGGGCGCATATCTTTTGGCTGATGAGGAGACCAGCCTCATCCATCAGGTGCACGCAGTCACCTTTGTAGAGGATTCAATCTACATGGAGTCATCTGTCGACCCCTTTGTGCCCAGGTAAAGACCAGCCTTACCTGAGCCACTGGTAGGGCTGGGTATTGGCAGCAGCTTTGTGATATGATGTGTATCACAATACAAACGTCAAGCACACACATACGTAACTGACATTTTTTGTGTTAATTAAAAACAACAAAAGAGCAGAAGAGCTGTTAAATTTAATGATGTGTAATAGTTTTCCCTGCAAGAGACTATTGTCCCACCCTCAGACTTGAATGCACAGATTTATCAGTATATTTTACAGGTTTTTTAAATGTATTGAAACAGTAGAGCGTAATAGGATAATGTGTTGTAAATAACGTAACGCCTCTGATTTGGTCACAGGTACAGGTTGTGGTCAGTATGTAAAACGTTTTTACAGACTGGTTGCAGAACTCATTTGTTGAATTGTATTCTGTTAGTTACTGTTAATTCCAGGTTGTTTAGTTGTTCTGCTGTCACAGCTGCTGACTTGGGGCAACGACAGGCCTCCTGAGCCGCAGGTCAAATATTATCTTATAAAAGTTATCTTGTATCTGTTTGTAGTTTTTTTATATGCACTAAAGTAGAAACCTGGTAACGGCTAGCTAGAGTGTAAAGCAAGTTGTTACTTGGCAACTTCGTAGTGGTTAGCTAAAGCATAAAGCTGCGTAATTAGCATTATTATGTAAAAAGCATAGAATGCTTCTCAACCAAACAAACAATATTGTGTCGTCATTGTCGAGTTAAATGTTGTATAATATTGTGTATTGTATTGTTTCATGTGTTACCAAGAGTTTATTCACAGTATATTACTATACTTATATTTTAAACACAACTGTTGGGTGTGCAGTGTACCAGTGCAGTGTACCAGTTCACCGATCTGTTCTAAGACCAATTGGGTTTCAGACCCGAGTGCCTGTGCAAACAGGCAGCTCGTTCCAGGCTGTTTGAATTTGCTGTTGATCAGTGTTTACCCATATGCTGGTTTGGTCACTGATCTTATTTGTGCTTTGCTCTGAGTCTCAGGCTTAATACAAATAGAAGCAGTACAAATAGCAGTAGAACAGTTGGTTGGGTCACTGTCTGGAGATCAGGATGATGTTTTGGGCAGGTTTTCAAGGGGTGTTCATTGCAGAAATTAAAAGACTGAAAATCTGTGATTTTTCTGATAACTTGGTAACATGTTATGATATATTGAACCAGATGATGTTGGTTTCTTTTTACTCTCAAGTCATTTGTACTTCACTGCCCCTCTCTTTCTCTCTTGTTCATCTCAGCATTGTGTTCATAATGTATACCACTTTGCCCTTAAGATTGGCGCCCTTGTTCTTTTTCTCTGTGCTTCTGCTGCTTCCTCTGACCCCTTCCACTAAAACCCACCTTCCTACCTCTGCTGTCAGTGCTGAGGAAGAGTGACCAAATGACAAAACAAACCCGACATGTTCGTAAGGAGACTGTCGAGGGAAATTTACACCCAGGTTCTGTAGAAACGCCTCCACTCTCAGTACAGAAGTAGTTGTAGTGTAAATGGATTTGAAAGTCATTTCACAAGTAACACTTTGATTTGTCATTTGACATTCAGCCTCACAAACGGACAAAAGATGAACCAAAGAAACAAGAATGTGTTGTAATTTCTGTTGTTTTCTGTTTTCTCTCTTTTCTTTGCCCTCTTTCTATTTTTCATTTCCTTTTTCTCTCCTCCCTATTCTCTTTTCTATCTCGCTCTTCTTTTCTTCTTTTCCCTCTTTTCTCTCTCTCTCTCTCTCTCTCTCTCTCTCTCTCTCTCTCTCTCTCTCTCTCTCTCTCTCATATATGCAGGCACATGACTCAGACAGATCTGAAGAACTCTACCTTTTGGCTGAGAGCCAGCGTGGGAGCCACTGTGTTTGCAGTGTTGGGCTTCGCCATGTACAAAGCTCTGCTCAAGCAGCGGTGATGAGCCTTCTGCATCCCTGGGAGTTATAAATCCCACCTCCCCTACTTCTGTCCCTATCATTCCCCTTTTGAGAGGAAATATATCTTGCATAATAGTAGATAGCTACATTTTATATATTTGAAACTAAATGCATCCCACTTCTCCAGCCATGTTTCTCCTCCCTGGAGTTTGGTTTGAACCTGTGCTCTTACCATATTGTGTATTCGGAGTAGTTAGAGGCTACAGGTGGCTTTCTGCCACAGACGGACTATAGCTGCTGGTGGTTTTTAAATGACATACACACATATTTTTCTCAGGTCAGTATTAGACGGCATGACTCATATTACACAGTTGAGGCAGAGGTGAGGGTTTGAACGAGTACGGATGGACTTTAACTTTGTTTATAAATGTAAATATTACTGAGGATTCCCTACAGTTGCAGTGAACAAAAGCCAGTACACAACTCACTCACACCTTTTTTATGGGAGGAGCACTGAAACAAAGCCATTTCTCACTTGTAAAGGTCATTATACTCTGAGCACGGTTCAGCTGTATTAATTTATTAACCTTATGTTTGTCAGTCATAATGTTTGGTGTTGCATGAAGCAGCCACACTACAAGGGATTTTTAAAATGAAAACGTTTGTTTTTATATTTATGATTTATGATGTATAGGTTGTTTGTTTGGCCATGGCCCCCACAGACACACTTTGCAGTGAAAGCTGGCTGCCAGCTCGCCTTCATGTTGGCAAAATAACAAGGCCACACAGTGAGAATCAGAAAGATCCCAAACATGGGTTCTGTGGTCAGGTCAATGGGACATGGTCTCTATGAGAACTATCAGTAAGCTCCACATGAAATATTTACTGATATCCATCTAGTAAAGACGACCACTGCGCAGTTTCAGCTTTTGTTGTTTGCTGTTTTGTTTGGTTTCATCAAGCCTTATTGTATTATTTTTCGGTGCAAATCTCCCAGTTCAGAACCTTGAAACTGTTGTACTCATTTCTGACCTTTCAAACATTTACAATAAATTACTGTGTGATCTTATTCTCTGTGTCTATTTATCCTTCAGATGCTGAGCATTTTTCTCACATTTGTCACATCAAATATTTGAATTTTTCTTCTCATACAATACTGTACAAAAGTCACAGACCACCCTTTTGTTTATTTAATTTCCAGTTAAAATGGCCATCAAGTACAAATTATCAAAAGAGGGGAAAAAAAAAATAATTTTAACAGAAAATTACACTAAAGGTTGTGTCCACACTTGTCATTATTACAGCTTCCACTCTTTAAAAAAAAAATCTGCAGGGATATTTTTTCCACACATACAAACAAGTTCAGTTGTAGAAGTTGGTTGCATTTCTACTTCATGAGTAAGCACAAAAACACTTGCAGTGAAGTTGAGGCCTTGACTCTGGGGTGGTCAGCCTATTATCCTGAGAACACCAGCAACTTCATTGTCTGATTTGCTCGTTTTCTTGTTTTTGTCTCTTTTTGTAGTAACAGCTTCATGACAGCTGCACATCTTTTCAGACTACTAGTGTTGAGCTGTCTTCTCACAGTGGAAGGATGGACAGAAACAGCTGTGGATTTTTTCAGATCTAAAGTGAGAGTGGATCTTGATCTCCTCTCTCTCAAAGATGAAAGCCTTAAGAACTGTTTTTCTGATGGGGACAGTTTTGGTGCTCTACCAGGTCTTACGTGGTTCTTAGATATCCCATTTTCTCTTTGATAGAATATAGCTTTTAATCATTTTTTGAACCTGAGTATGGACTGTTATTTTCCTTTAATGCGATTGGATTATCTAATATCTAATCTCATCAGAAGTATCTGAAATATGAGAAACTTGTTCTTAATGGTAGTTTTGACCGGAAGTGAAGGGTGGTGTCTGACTTTTGCGTAGTGCTGGAAATGGGAAGAAGGTACTTTTAGATGATCCTTGAATATACCAAGAGTGGCACCTGCTTATAGATCATGCTTTACATGCACAGTCTGCTTTACTCAAATGTACAAACCCCTGTTAACAATGGGAAAAGGGGTTGATAATGTATATTAGTATTTATTATGATTATTCTTTATTGGTATAAATTACCTTGGTGTGTTAACACCACAATCATACATTCACAATACGTCTGTCTGTCATAAAACACAGAAGTGGGAAAATGAGGGGATTATTTAATCCTGCAGCAGGGCCCCTGAAACAGGAAGTGATGCACCGCTCTATCAAATGTAAGTACAAGTTCAGAAATGAGCAGCTGGACGGATAGTAAACATGTCAACTGGAGAAGGTAGAGGAGTAGTTCTCACGCCATTATGCCAAGGCTTTCTGAAGAAGAGAAAAGACAAAATGGTAAGCAGTTCTTTTTTTTTAATTCATGTATCCTTTCTGTTCTGTTACACACTGTATTACACTATAGGCCACACATGACAATGTTATGACTTGAAAAGAAATCTGTAGAAAATAACTCAGTTAAATGATATAGATAAAATGAATTCCTCACTATTTTTTTTAGCCAATCCTGGCCCTTTTCAGACTTTATTGTACATCACTAAATTAATCCAAATAGCTTGCTTTATATACACTCAGACATCTCTCAAGGCTCATGTGTATCAAAACTATCAAGTTGACAAAACTACAGTTCACCACGCTCTTGCTATGAAGCCTAAGAGACTTGCTCCTTTAATGAGTTCATTCTTTTACTGATCTCATCAGAGGCTGAGGTGGGTGACCTATTGGTTCAAGCTTCACAACACAACCCTTTTCTTCTACACTAAGAAAAATGGATCCGCTGTAAGTATTCTAGTGTTAAATTTCTATTTTAACATGTATGTTGCTCACAATGCCTTGTTGGAGTGGTTAATACAGACATGGATTAAGTTTAGTCTGAATATCAATGCTGATTCCCCTTAGTTGTAAAAGTTTGTTACAATTGTTAAAATCATGAAATTTTAAAATGTTTCAAAATGTACTGTCAACTCGAAGTCTGTACAGTCCATATAACAAAAGTAAGATATAAGAAGTGTTGTTACTGTAGACAGTCTGTGGCAGAGTTACCGGAGTGGGGAAAAGCCAATAAACATTGCTGTTTCTGGCTGTCAGGAAGCAAATGAATCATTGCAGCCCATTGGCGGATCCATCTACAAGGAGTGGCTTAGGGTAATGTTAAGAGGATATCAGTTTGAGCTTTACAGTTCTGTAAATTTCAGCTTGACCTACTTTTTTGGCTCAGCAAGTTTAATTTTAAAGGACAGAGAGGTGAAAGTGGTTGTGTAAAAATTAATCACACAAAATGTAAATCATATAAGTGGGTTTCAGGGGGAAGAGTATACTAGATATTGCAGACTCTGGGCCCCCTAAGGGTTAGACTTAATCTGGGCCTACAAAACTAGTCCACTATGTGCTGGCATTCACCACCTCCTTTTTCAGTTTAAGTATTTTTTCTATATTTCTTGGTGTACTAACTCAAAGCTCTGCTCAAGCACAATCCTGGAAGAAGGGCTTGAAATTCAGAATGGCTAAAGGCCTAATACAACTATTCTTTAGATTAGAGCTCAGGCTGATGGTAAGATGAAATGCTCTCTGTATGCATTAAAAATTGTGCTTATTTCATTTCCTCCGGCAGTCAGACCTTAGAGGGCAGTATTACCTGTTTGAGGTAAGTTGCATTTCCTCAGTTGTGGCAGTTGCTGCTGTTTTCTTTAGGTGTAGAAAGATGGGCTTTGATTCCTCATTCACAGACCTCAGTGTCAAACTTGAAGCCTAAATTATTAATAATTCATCATTATTTACCCAGTTTATGTGAGAGATTAAACCAGACCTCATCATAATAATCACTAGTGTTTTCTGATTCTCTGTGGATCAGGTCGAGTCAGTGCATGAGGTGATGCGAACTGAGAACAAGCGCTACCTTTTTGAGCTCACCATGAAAAACGGGAAGAGGAAAGTTCTGGTGAGTTCCCACCCTGCTCTTCTCCACTCACGACTCTGTTTACTGGGCCTGATTGAGGATGTGGCCTGCAGTCACCCACCGATACAAATAAAACTCAATTCTGCTCTAAGACATAAGTGACAAGTACCACCATTGACTATTGTTTCAAAAAAAGGAACACAGATCACCCTGTTTTGCCTCATCACATCTTGGACCAACGGGGTGTGACTGTCCTGTAAATCACTCTCACGCTGTAATTTTGGAAGACAAGTGGTAAAGTCTGTATAACAAGAATATTTAGAACAGAAGTGGTTCTTTGTGCTCAGGGAAATGTGTGTTCAATAGTCAGCTGTTGGGCAATTTACCACAGCGAGATTAAAGAGAAGGATTTAGAAATGAGAGAGAAATTTAGAAATAATTTCTGTGATGTAATGTACCCTAAAAAAGACCACAAATTGGAATTCAGATTGTAAAATTCAGTAGAAACTGGGCTTTTCAGAGTTACAGGTGCATAAACAGAAATAAATTTGAGAGAATATATAAAAAGCAAATAAAATCCTTTTCACAGGTCAATAAATACACATAACTTCAACACATTAAGGCTTAACTAAGGCAAACAGATTAAAGAAAGACATGAGCTAAAGTTTAGAGGCAAATTACAGAGAGAGATGAGTGATGTGAGGGGGTGATACCTTTGTGCAAATTAAAAGAAAATTTGACAGTTTTGGACTTGTTATTATATATCACAACTATTAGAATGCAGACTTGGATTGGTTCTCACACTCTCAACTAAACACAGTCTTACTAGTTAAGTTCAGTCAACAAAGCCAGTCTGTCATGGCATCCTAATGCCATCTGCAGCAGCCACTCTTTAGATCAGGCCCAAGGCGTCAAAGGTTCTCCACAAAATCTGCTTTTACCCAGTTCTGCAATGAATAAAGCTACTTTATTTGCTATCCTAAATGACTAGTGAACCTACACGTGTCTTCTGAGCTTTTATATTTATTGGTTAATCCCAAAAAAGTTTTCTTTAGGGCCTTTCATTGCCAGACCCTGCATGTATATCTTTTCGGTCAAAAACCTCTCAAAACTTGAAACAATGTCTCTGGCATCAGGCAACATATTTATATCTATTTTATTTAATACCTTATTTAATAATTTAATGCAACATGCGATGGCCAAATTGATGGACGGAGAGATGGACCTATTAGAGAATGAGCTAATATCAAAATTTGAGAAGTAAGGTGTGGGGATATCAAATTAGCCCAGATAAATGGTATATAAACTGTTGTTTGGAACACTGTTTACGCAGTTGGGTCTCTCGAGACCCTGTGCCACTTGATGCTGAAATAAAGAAGAAGCCTTTTTCCTCTTCCACGAACTCAGCATCTGAAGAATCTTTTCTTTTTGACATCTTTTGAGAACTTAAACTTAGAACAGTTATTAGTGAAAGTGTTTAGTCAGTATTAAAAGATTTCTTTTTTATTCATAATATCATGTTGGAGGCCTGTGGAGTTTGTATGTTCTCCCCGTGTCTGCGTGGGTTTCCTCCGGGTACTCTGGTTTCCTCCCACAGTCCAAAAACATGCAGTCAGGCCAATTGGACATCATGAATTGCCCCTAGGTGTGAATGTATGTGTGATTGTGTATGTATGTCTGTCTGTCTGCCCTGCGATGGACTGGCAACCTGTCCAGGGCGTATCCTGCCTTCCGCCCAATGACAGCTAGGATAGGCTCCAGCACCCCACCGCGATCCAGAAGGATAAGCGGTTTAGATGATGTATGTTGGAGGCCTGGGGTTGAAGGGGATAGCCCTTGGTCCTGACAGGTTCTTTAACAAAGAAAAGGGTTCTATATAGCACCCAAAAAGGTTCTTCTATTTTTAAAAAAGGTTCTATATAGAACCATCTACAGCACATTCTCCATCAACTCTTTTCATGGGTTCTTTAAATGTTCATGGTTCAATATAGAACCATTTTCTTTATTACAGAACCCTTGAAGAACCGTCTTTTTTAAGAGTGTAGAACAGAGCTCACTGACTGATTTTGTTTACATCTTTATAATATAATTATACATAAACTTTGAAAAATTGGTGGAATTCCCCTTTCATTGTACATTACATTTAGTAACTGGGTGTATATCTTACACACTATGACTTGAATGACTGGTTAAATTTAAGCTTAGATTTTTGTTGTTGTTTTGTTTTGTTTTTTGTATGTACATAGAAGCTCTCATCAGTTCTCAGTTCCTGCCTTTTTCTAAACTCCACCCACAGGCTGCAGACACAGCAGATCTCAGACAAGAGTGGATTTGCCAGCTTTTGAAAGCAATGAAACATCCTGGGCCGAACACACCTGCGCTGACCCCTAACTGGTAATGCCTGTTACACAGCCTCACTTTGACGACAAAATCTACTCTTAAAAGGAAAAGAAAACAACAAAACAAATGAGTTGTCACGAGTTCCCACAGTTCTGGCCACACACGGATGTCTCACTGATTCTGTAGATGTGGCTGCATGGAATCACTTGTCATAATAATGTTTTGCTTTGTTGTTATTTTATATTTACTAATAAATAACAGTGTAGATTTTTGTATTCAGTATTTGTGAAAAGAACTTGGAAAACAACAAAAAGTAATTAAATGATAAACATTATATTGTAATTATTAGAAGTAGTAGTAATAGTAGTTATTGATCGACTAACCACAAAATATGTTGCTGATATTAATTTTATTATAACTTCATTCTCAATGTTTCACAGCTTTCTCAGCCATTTTAGAATCACCTGCTCTGTTGATTATTCTACATATTTTTCCTACTAACTATATGACACCTCTGACATTTCAGAGTACAAGCGTCAAATTAGAATAATTTGATTCAGTTATCTGCAATAAAGTTTTTATTTTATTGAAAACGTTGATTCAAAACCTCTGAATGGCACTGTGTGTGTGTGTGCAGGCATGTTTCGTCAGATTCTAAGCGGAGAGCTCATAGCAGCCCATGCAACAGCAGCAATAGCAGCTGCATTCGCTCAAACTCAGAGATCAGTGTCGGAAGGCCTTACTCCACCATCACCTATCACTGCACCTCCAGCGTGAACCCTCAGCCTCTTAAACAATACTTGACCCTGCACACGTCCACTGCTCTTGGTATGATTTTCACAGAATGTTTGTCAGGGTCAGTATTTTAAAAGAGGGATCAATATAAAGTCAGTTTCTCACACTGCAGCAGTTACATGAAACTGTTTAATACTCAGTACATAAGATTGGTTTATTTATTAAAAGGTTACTTATTATTGCTTTGTAGTAAAAGCTGTATTTGTTACATGTGCTTATGTTCTCATGATCTTTCACTTCCTGATCTCAGGCTTAGCAGACACAAAGAGCACCTGGTATCCAGAGGATGAACTGGAGCAGAACACAGAGAAGATTCAACCTGAGAGTGATTATGACATCCTACCAGCTCGTAAATGTTTGTGAAATCCGTCTCTATCTCTTTTTTTAATACAAATTTTCTTCCCAATTTGGTCATTGCCAATTCCCACCCACCAGCTAGGTCTCCCCATCACACAGTGCAACCAGTCTGGGAGGTGGAAGGCTAGTAAGAGCTTCCTCTAAGACATGTGAAGCCAGCCACTGCATCTTTTTAAACTGCTGCTAATGCAATGTCAGGGGGCAGCTGAGCATGCTTGGAGAAGAGCACTAAGAACCAATTCTGTTACATTAGCTAACAGATAAATGCCTTGGTTAATATCGCACTAAGTGATGAGGGAAGAGGGAGGGCCATCCCACCCACCAAGAGAGAGCAAGGCCAATTGAGCTTTCTTGGTCTCCCGGCCACGGATGGCTGTGGCATCGCCTGGGATCAAACTCGCGATCTCCAGATGATTGGGCCAACGCTTAGACAGTTGCGAATTATTCTCACTTTAATACTGATTTCGCAACATTATACCATCATGCAATACATACACAATACAATACATTGCAATACATTGTTCCCTTGATTAAAATGAAGACCAGTTCTCACTATAATTCTTATACATGCTTAAAAAATGTGTTTATGATGTCTCTACCATTATTAATAACATTCTACTTCGAGTTGAATTTCTTGTATTTCTCACATTATGGATTTAAAACCGTCAGCAGGTTGATACTGAGTAGACAACATAACCAGCCAGCTGACCAATAAAAAACTACTCACAATTCAAAAACTGATTTTGCGATGAAATAGAAAAAAAAACGTACAGCTGAATCAAGGGTGTGGCTGGTGGTGCCTGGTTGGTTTTATTGCTCAACATGGCCCAGAACTGCTTATTGGCTGACATGCACTGACCAACCACAGAGCATTATTTTGTAATGTAGATGTTTATCTCCAAATTTCCATGCTGAACACTTCAAACAACCAAACCTGAAGCTGTGAATTTCACAAAAAATTTTTGGCTCAGCACACATAGTGTTTCCCTGCTCCCAACACATCTGATTCAACTCATCCGCTAATTTACAAGCCGTTCCTGAGTTGAAGTGAGTGTGTTAGAGCACACCAACATGTTCAGGACAGTAGCGGGTACTCCGTGATCAGTGTTGGAAACCTGTATTCTAGGGCCCCGTTACATTTTAGTGCTTTTCCTGCTTTAACACACCCTTTTTAACTCTTTAAAGGGGAATTCCATCGATCTTTAAATGCTTCTGCATGAGTTAATCGATGAGATGTAAACAAAGTCATCCAGACTGGTTTGCTGTTAAATGCTCTGTTGTAGAGAAACTTGACAAGTCAGAATTGTTCACAGCAGTTGTAACAGAAACCAGACGTCTGATGATTTTATCACCTGTAAAAGCTCCTTTACAGAAAGTTATAACAAGAAATGGTTACTTTCACGCTGCTGACGTCTGAGACATTGTTTAACGATAGTTTTGCGCAATCTTTTGGCTTAAAAACATGTTTTTTAATACGCTCATGGTGGAGCGATACGTGCAGGGCATTGTGAGGTAAAGCAGTCCTGAATAAAACTTCTTTTTTTCTTTATAGTTTTTCCTCTATTTTACCATCATTGTTACATTCAAATACTCAGAAGACTCACTAGGTTCACTAGTGGTTTTGGATAGTAATAAAATCATTATATTTGCACTGTAAACCTTCCAACTCCTGGTTTGTATCACCCCTTGACAAGTCAAGGGTGTAAAGACATTCAAGTCGGTAAGTTTCTCCACAATAAAGCATTTCAGACCAAACCAGGGCAGGAGTTGAGAAACACTGTTCTAGGGAATAACTTCACATTGCTTGTATCTAATGTGTAGTACTGAACTGGTCATTTAAACAATGATATGTTCGTATGTATTTTCAGCCTTGAATTATGAAGAGGCCATTTATGACACACCTCCATCCAACCGGCGAGCCAGTGGACGAGATCATGGTGAGTATTCATCCTTTTCCATACTCCCCTCTATTCTTTGATTCATACACTCATCATCTGTTCTGACTGTTCTCCATTTCAGAAATGACTGACAGCATCTATGATGTCCCAAAGTCCATATTTAGGAGAAATGGTGAGTGAAAGTCTACTGTGCTTAAGTGATAAATCACTTATGATGGAAAAAGTGATGTGATCTGTTTGGCATTACAGATGGTGAAGAGAGGCCCATGAGTGGGACACTGCTTATTGACATGATGGCTTGTTTGGGGGAAGACTCTGCAGACTGGGTCAGAGCAGCTGCCCCAAGTGCCATCTGTAAACCCTAACAAAGCGAATCATTTCAACACATCCAATGCCTACTTGCCAACATGCATTTATTATTCTTTTGGACAACAAAACTTTATACATTTACATGTCGTTGGACTTAATTTTGCATTGTTTTTCTATTCTTGATTTTATCTCAAGTATTATTTTTTTCCCCAATGCATCAGAGAAGCATTATAAATACTGTATTTACTATGCTGAATTACATACTTATGGTGAACTCGCCACTTTGAGCAGTGACCCATGCTGCCTCTAACTGCTTTGACTGATCAGTCGATCCCACTGTGGTAACACTGCCCTCTTCTGGCCTAAAATCACAAGTGCGCTACAAACCGCAGAATTGAAGCTGTACAAAGCTTTGTGCCTTAAAAGAAAAACTTACCCCAATCAGCCATATCGCTAAAACCATCTCCTTGTTTCTACACTCATTATCAGCAATTTGTAGTTTTACTATTACAGACTGTAGTCCATCTGTTTGTCTGCATACCTTGTTGAACCAAAGGGTGAAAAAGTGCAAGACCACCACAGAGCAGGTGATTTTTGGGTGGTATGTTAGTATGTTGTGCTGGTACAAGTGGATCAGACACAGCAGACTTTTTAAAATCTGTCTACTCACTGTCCACTCTAGACACACCACCACATCATTGTCACTGCAGTGTTGAAAACGATCCACCACCCACAATAATACCCGCTCTGTGGCAGTCCTAAAAAACTATGCAGAGAAGTGGCCTACAGTCTGCAACTGTGGAAATATAAAATACACCAATGTGGTGAGTGGAGCTGATAAAATGGACAATGAGTGCAGATACAAGCAGGTGGTTTTAAATGTTATGGCTGTGTATGTATAAAGGATAAAACTGGTATGGAGTTAGAGACTCTCAAACAACAAGGCTACATTGTGGAATGTAACCTGTCTCAAAGAAGTAATGAATTGAGTCAGGCATTAAAGAACAAGAATTTTTTTTTTTTGCATGGTTATATCACTGGTAAATGAAAGACAAAACACTGTCATATCAGAAGGATGTAGAAAAAATTTAAAAGAAATGAGAAGCCTTATTTGAGCACAGCAGCTATCTTTTACATTGTGAACATCTGATGGTGAATGGACCAACAGAAATGTAAATCAGAAATAAAATCTTGGTACATTAAAAGCACTTTTGCCTTCTGGAAAGTTACAGATACATGGTTCTGTTAGGATAGACACAATTTCTTCTCATCGAGAAGAGCAGTACAGAATACATGCAATGAAAGAAGAAAAAAATCTGATTAAAACCCATGAGAAAAAGCATCTGTTTCCTTTGGATTATATTTACAAACTTATTACAAAAACACCACAACTGAAAACTAGACTCTAAATAAAAGTATGTACAGTGTGAAATGCCCATGAGAGTTTCTGACAGGACAGAAAAGACAGCATTTTTTGTTTTAAAGCACAAGAATAATAAAAAAAAAAATAACCTGACAAGGTTACAATATAAACATGACAAAAGTTTTAAAAATTCAGAGCAACATCTGCAATTTCTGGCAGATTCCATCAGGTCACTGTGATGTTCCACAGAGGGTTGTGAGTCGGGTCTGTGCAAAGAAAAAGGGACAATGAATTAAAACCTCTTGAACTCCATGAGACCACCGGTGGTTCCAAAATACAGTGTCATATTCTTCATAATTTTCATATTTCATAAGCTACAAAAAGTGGCTGTAACTTTCCAGTCAAATAGATGGGTAATGTAATTTTAAACCCTTATAAAAACTCAATTTTTTTGGTCTACTGAATGTTGACCCATTTTTCCACAAATCTGGGCTATAAACTATAAACTATAAACAGATGGTGTCTCTTCAGTGATCTGCTCTGTAAAGATTATTTTTATAAAATAATACAAAGAGCGTCTAAGATTTTTGGCTTTCAGCAGTAAACTGTAAGCATATAGCAATATGTGTATGATCATAAAAACACGTTCTGTTAATTTGAGGGGAGCTTTTACAAAAAAATAAATAAATAAAATAACATTTATTTCATGCAGTTACTGAATAATTTGCCTTACAATTTGGTCATGTAAATTCAAATGGAAAAACCAAAATATACCCTGGAGAATAAGAGATTAAATCATGTCATGTAATATTTGAAGAAAAATGTGATCTCAGTATGAAGGAATACCTGCAGCTGTCTGATACTGCGCACCGCCTTATCGTCTAGTTGGCTTAGATCAACAGATTCCATCTCACTAGCCAGCAGCTGAATACACTGAAAACAGAGAAAAGAAACTGAAATTTCTTGTTGGTTTTTGACGGAATGAAAAATACAACCAAACACATTTTCATATTCAGTTTACTTTCAATGTAGAAAACAGTTCTTCTGTATTTTTACACATTGTGACTGATAAATCATGTCATTACAATCAGAGCCCAACCAACCTCTCCATTGCCCAGAGGGACATTGATGACAATGTCCTCACTGCATCCAGCGATAGGAGAGCCGTTTACAGAGATGCTGTACACCTTCTCTCTGTGACGAGGAACTCTCAATGCAGGAGTCTTAGGCAACCTGACAGGACAAAAGCACATTATGGTTATGTTTACATTATTAGCCTCATTGCTCAGTTCCAAGTCTTGTTTCTTTCTGCCTTGATGTTTTGTAAGAGACTCTCATCTGGCATTATTGTGAACACATGTCTGCCCTGAAAGAACCTGCATCCGCACATTTTCTAAATAAATTTGAAATGTAAAATTAAATGAAGTCTTTAACTACTTTTAAAGCCTGCTCCGACCACGCAGAAACGTACATTTGTGTACTTTGAGACATGCTTTGTCAAATTTAGGGAGCCAAAATTCAACCACACGGTTTTAGAAGTTTAGTCATCTCTATATTAAAGACGTGCCCGGGCAAAATGAGTAGAGAACCAATTTATTTTATGCCAACAGTTCTCAACCCTGGTCCTGAAGTACACTCCTCTGCCCTGCATGATACAGTCCTTTCCCAGCTCTAACATACCCAGTTCATTATTAATAACTTCATAAATTAATTCATTAGTTATATTGGGTGTGTTACAGAAGCTGAAACACAAACGTGTGGGGAAGTGGCACTCCAGGACCATGATTAAGAACCACTGTTTTGGGTTTCATTTAGGCCAACTGACACAAAATATCACAATACATCTGGAGTTACCTGGAATCAAAGCGAGGTGTGATGAGTGGAGTCGGACCCATTATAGAGGAGTCCAGGAAACTTCTGGCTGGAGTGACCAAGGGCTTCCTAGTGGATCTTAGATCAAACAATGTGTTAATGAGCATCATTTCATATACAACGTTTAATGGGCAAAAACACAAAAAACAAACAAACCCATAAAATATACATGATGACTCACTTTCTAATGGTGCCGTTCTGTTTGCTGACAGAAAGCGCTTTAACTTTCTTGGAGGTTGATGGTGCTTTCTTTGGCCTTCCCTATTGTAAACATGACAAAATTAGGGCACCACAAAATTGACCAAGAGTATCTACTAATCTGTCAGAAATTGACAGAATTAATTCATTTAATTTGTTTTAATCAAAAACACATGCACATATTTTGTGTGTATACAGGGTGAGAAATAAGAGTGGCAGAATTGATGATGCTTGTCCACTTGTAGCACTTGGACTGACCTTTTTTGTTGTAGATTTAGGCACCAGGTTCTCTTCATCTTCAGAGTTTGCACTGGTCTTCGCAGCTGTTAATATGGACGATCAGACATGAACACCAAAATCAATAATAATAATGAAAAGCATGAGATGAGAAAAAGAAACAACATCACCTTTTTTGGCTGACTTGGGTGGAATTGTGTGATCCTGAGCTATGGCCAGCTCCACTTCAGCAGCCACCTGCTTTTGCTGTATGCAATGACAAAATTAAATTAACATTTGCAGTATTAGATTACAGTATAATGTGTAATGACAAAAAATATAAGATCAAAAACACAACTCTCAGTTGATCTCCTATGGCTGGAGAAAAAGACTTACCTTAGACTCATCCACTGGTGTTTTTGGCTTTTCTGAACCTAATAAATAGAGAGAAAAACGTAGCTATATTATGAATGTAATATAATACGATGTTGCTCAAAGAACGCACAACTACCCAAGTGTAACTATTTGAGCTAAATATATCTCATTTCAACTTTTCTGACCAATACTGTGATAGAAATTTAAATTACAATTATTTTCTAAATTGAAATAACTTTCTAATTTGAGGTCCAGGCCTGTTTTTTGGCCAAGAAGGCCAGCAAATCCACAATTTATGGCTTAAAGTTTGAACACTAAACATACAATGCCAAAGTGCCGGTTAGCTGTAGTTGTGGTCATGTACAAATCACATTAGTATTTGGTTGCTTATGATTGGTCTAACTCATTTTTAAAACCTAATTTTCAAATTGCAATTTTGATATAAAAACTATTAACCGTTCAGCTCTATTTAATTCTATGTCAATAAGGCATGAGAGAAACATTATCCAGCTCAGGTCAAAAAGAGAACAGCTTGTGTGTACATACCACAGTAATGAATCCAGTTCATCTGTCGCACTGCCGTGGGCAGTTTGATCAGCGCCATGTTGTACAAATTGTCTGCATCTTTCAACAGGTTGTTGGTCTTGTCCTTCAGCCTCTTGACTATGGTGCGCACTGTGAGCAAAAAGAAGCACAGGTTCAGTGATGAAATATTGCCACAACAGGGGCCATTCATAGAAAGAGGTCCTCATAGGGGTCTGAACCGTAACTTTTGTATAGCTACACTGTGCATGTCAGTAATAAAGAGACTTTAAATGAGACTTGATAATCAAAGATTTTTGCATAGTACATGGACCTTCTTCACCTGTTTGTCTGATATGCAAACAATGACACCCCGCCTCAAAAAAGGTGTTAATTTTAACCCATTCATGGAGCACCACTGTTCTTGACATTTTAGAGTTTCCTCTGCTCACAACACGTCTGATGCAACTAATGAACTACTTAAGAAGCTCTACTTTAGGTGATCTGGGTGTGTTAGAGCAGGGAGAACATTACAACATGTGGGACAGCGGTACACCAAACACAGGACTGAGGACCCCTGAGCAAATGTAATAGCTTTAAGCCTCTGGACCATGATATTACTGCTCTACTGAATCCAGAGGGCTCAAAGCCGGTCAGTAAGGTCGGTGCGGACAGTCCGGCAGGAAATTTAACCACAGCGGTTTAAATGCCAACGTTAGCTAGCTGTCTAGATATCCGTACGCAGTGTTAATATAAAGTTAACAACTAACCTTTGTCGTTTGTAAAGTTATAAACTTACCCTCATCGTCGAAATCAAGAAGAAAGGCTTCTAATTTCGGCATCTTGACGTTCTTCTTGTTTTTAGCGTTAGTGGTTCGTTTTCTCGGAGCCATTGTTGTGCTGTGAGAGAGCGGAGCGAAGCGGGACCAGCCGTTTAGCCCTTAAGCTAACAACACGCCATACTTCTCCTTTAAAACATCTTATCAAGGCCAATTATTAAAATCTTATTACACTTAGTAAATATTGTCTTCTAATTACCTGCTCGTGTTTCTTTATCCTTCTCGCTCCTTTCTCTTCTCTCCTCGACGCTCTTCGGATTCGCAGCAGTTGGAAAGACACTTTTCAAATTCTTTCGCGAAACAGAAGTTCGGCCAATGAGTGAGCAGCGCTCTGCGTGCGTCAGCCACACTGGCGTTTCTCACCAATCAGCTACAGCGTCTCAAAAAACAAAAGAAATAGACCAATAGCAGCAGACTTTATTGGACGAGGTGGTAGATACAGGTTTCGGATTGGTGGATTAGACGCACACGGCACAGTAATCGGGAGGATCACATGGAGGCTTGGTGTAAAAGCGCGTGGATCACACAAATAACGTATTCCCATCGTAACAGATGAAATAATGTTTTGTTTGTCAAGTACTCGATCCGTTATCGCTTGTACGTATGTTCGCGTGTGAATATTTCGCAGAAATGCTGATCAGGCTGGCAGACAGTGAGCTCCTGTACTCGGGCGAGTAACGTGTTAGTTTTGTGTTTGTTGGTGACTTTTTTCAGTCGAGCGATGTCTCAGGCAGCTCTACTGTCGCTGCATCAGGAGCTCAGAAAATGCTTTCGGAGTTTGGAGGCGAGCCGCAGCGTTTGGAGATCTGCTCTGGAGGAGTGCTCGCCTTTACTGAGCTCTCTGGGAAACCTCGCCGAGCAGCTGAGGGCGCTGAAGAGTGTAGAACTGCTCAACACGCCTCTCGCCAAGTTCCCAGACCTTCAAGAACGCCTTCAGCACAAACTCACTCAGGCAGCGGACACTGTCCTGAGCAGGTTAAGTGAAAAAATGTAAGTCTGCTTTTTATTCTCATTAAAGCTCCCATAGGTCCTCTGCTGGCATTTGTGTACCCTTTTTGTACCAAAAGTATCCATAATTCGTTGTTGCATTACCATTTCCGACCTCGCTTAATGTAGAATTAAACAGGCTGGTCTTGTTACTGCACCTTTAAGACGGATGTATGTAAATGATCTCTGCTCTGATTGGCTGCCCATTTTTTTGTTCCTTATTTGAAAAAGCTGTCTGGCTTGAGGCACTCCACAACACGTTAGTGTAAATGGGCAGAGCTAAACTATTTTAGACTGAGTTTGTGGATATATCTTTGGGTTTTTGTGACATCACAAAAAAGTGAATAAAAACAATAAGCCTAGTTTCCATATATGGTCTGGAGAGTAAACTTTTACCAGTGTTTACATGCTACATGAAAATCTTGTTTCCAATTATTATTATTATGATTATTGTAATTATTACTATTATTACCTCATTCTAAAACGTTTCATTGCAGGGATGCCCTTCAAGTGGTGAAGGATTCCATCAGTAAGCAGGTGTTTGCGGTTTTCCAGCTGTACGAGCAGAACTCAGACGTCCTTGATCTGCGCTCTTGTGTTGCCAGATCTGCTATTTCTCCATCAGTTGCTGACATGTTGGAATGGCTCCAGGATGCAGAATACTACTATCGTGTCCAGTATCCTAGATCTGCTGCAAGTCTCATGAGTGGCTTTTAAGTTTGAAATAGCAGACTTTTTTTTTCTCCGTACAGCTCTTTACTTTCTAGTAAGCTGGTGCCTTACTTTTTAGCTTGGAGTCTAAATTGGTAGTGCGACTTTACCAATTAATTACACTTTTAGTTTTGTAAAGTGGAGATATGAATACACTACAGCTGTGCTATTGATATTGCTTATGATTTTAACCTCTGAGGTTCATTAATTTAAGAGTGAACATTCTGTGAATGTTTAGACAAATAATTTTTCATGCAGCTTGTAAAATTGTAGGCTTTGCTACAGAGAAGGTGACATACATTTCAAATAACGTTAAAAAAAATTCGGTTATCTCAGCAGTTCTCATTTTTGTTTCCATCATGAAGCCTAGTTTCATAGAATGATGAGTTCATTATTTACCAGAATCCCAAAAATAAGTACATGAAATCTGTGCACTGTAGACATTGTGACCCCTGGTTCCAGTCAGCACAAATGTAAACCATAGTGTTTCCACATCAGAACACTCTGAATGACTTTATTTACCATTAAATCATACAGAAATTTTCAAAAATGGTTGGAAATTCCCTTCAAATCAAACTTGAAAGTAAAGTGTAGATATATGTCTCAGGTTTCAAATTAGGTGAGCCAGTTGAAAAGACAACCTTTTTTTTAAGCAGTTAACCAATTCATGTAGATACCTTGTGTTTTTGTTGATTTATTTATTTATTTATTTTTTAACAGTACACACATTATGTCTGAAATTTGCTCTTTTGTCAGACAAGACACAGTTTCTACTCCCAAAAGAGATAAAAAAATTCTGTTTTGGTTCATCTGTAGTCCCACCTCACTCTGTTTAGGCTTGTTTAGACCTCAACCTTTCAAACTTTGACGCCCCCAACCACAGCAGCAGATACTTAGAACACCAAGTATAAAAACCAAGCCCTCTCTCTGGCCCATTATTTTCAAACCTGTGTTGTAAAGAAGCTGCTGCTGTTTGCATTTTCTTAACTACACAAGAATACGGTGGCCTTGTGTTTGTTCCCAGTGTAGCTGCTCTTTAAAACAGTTTGCAAAGATGAAGTTACTGGTTTAGATGCTCACGTCTTTCAAGGATCATAGCTGTTGTGCCAGGGGAGGGGGCTGGAATGGCCTGTGGCTAGCAGTCTAGGAATAGTGAAGGAGAAAAAGCTCTAAGTGTGTGAATGTGTGATTGTCCTCAGCTAAGTACTCAGATATGTTCAGAGGAGCAACCTGCTACAGATGCTAAAGCCTGATGACCTTACACTTATGGAAACAGCACCAAAGAGATGGGCATCTTTAGATTCCCCTAGTAGAGAAGAAAGAATTTCAGGTAATCCTGTCACAAATGGGTCCAGAAGCACTGTGTATACACTTAATGTACTAGTTGTTAATAGTGGGTACTGTAATGTACTCAGTTAGCTGTTTTTTTTTTTTAATTCTCTGTTCTGTTGTTTCAGATGCGCTCTTTCAAGTGTCCTTCTTCTTGGAGTCTGAGTAAACTGTTATTGAGTTTCTGCCAAGCTTACGTCACCTATTTACAAGCTCCCAACTGGAAAAAAGTGCGACTCTGAGCTGTAATTACCAGGCGGAAACTTGGTAACCTGAGTTTCAGAGTGTCCTGTAATGTCTGGCTCTCATCTTCTTATACTACAAACACCGCTCAAGCTTGCTTTGGCAGTTTTCAGGAAACTGAATGCTAAAAGGCACAGCTTGTACCCCCAACTTTACAACAACCAGCGTTAGTTTATTAATTTTTCATATGGGGAAAATTCCAAGAAGCACTAATCGCTGGAATGCAGCGTTAGTATAACAAATGAGGATAAGGATGCACAGCAGCCCACACATAACATGAGGTAATGTGTGAACATATGCAGTGATATTGAACTTGCTGATGTCGGTGGACTCAAAATCTCCTAGGAACTTCACAGACTCTTAAAGAATGCTGTTTAAGGACTTTTGTGAAAACCTGAGGTAAACACTGATTTTGTTCCTGGACTTGTACAGCACAAGTGTTCTTAACATGAATTACTTTGCATTTGTTGCAGTTAGCATCTACTACATTGAAATGATTTCAGTATTGTTCAGTCACATCATGTCTATTTATTATCACACATCCCTAGCTTATTATGTTTTAACAAAATAAATATAAAATCACTTCACTCACAGCAAACTTGGTTACAGAGGTTGTTTCTGTGATGAAAATTGGGGTCTATAGGACGTAGAGTACAGATCACAGTGTAGATACTGTTTATCTCAACTATAAGAGATGGGCAGCTGTTAACAGGATGAAATTAAGATAAGCAGATAAATAAGAAATCAATTACTTAGAAAAAACATAGTGCAGTTTAAAACCACACCCTCGTGTGGACAGAAATGAAAAACAGTACATATATAAGGATGTCAATAAAATACCTTTAGGATAATTCAAGTCACTGCAGTACTGTTATACAACTTGCTCATTTTCAGTCATGGGCTTCTGTCCTCTCAGAACTTCCTTTATTTTCCATATGTATTCAAAGGTTTGGAATCAACTTCAATAAAACTTTTTGGGGAAAATTTTAGATGTGTCCAAAGTTATGAACAGAGTTCTGATAATGCTGTGTAACATTAAAAAGGAAGTTAATATCCAGATTACCTTGCATTTCAAAAGTGGTGATCAAATTTCTTGGCAGAAAATGTGACAAATTGTTCTAAATTTTTATATTTCTTTATTCTAAAATTATTGTTGGCTGTATCACTTATCACGTATTATTAGCATCTTCTTGTTTTCGTAATACTTTAATGTTAGAATCAAATGTCTGTAAATACCTTTTCGATGCTTGTTTATAATATTTAAATGTACATTTTGTAACTTTATAGACAATAAAAAAATGAAGAAAATTAACCTGAAATTATTGAAAAAATTGACCTTTTTAGATTTAATATTTCAAGTTCTTGGTTATTTTAAGCACCCTGCCCAGAAACATATTCTGAGTTTGGATTACATCACCATGTACCAGCAGGTAAGGAAACATAATATTAACCTATAATCATGTGGCAGCTCCCACTTAAATTGTCCAGAGAATCGTTCAGCCAGCTCAGGGAGAGACCCTCCCTGATACCACGCTTCACATTTTCAGAAATGTTATGGTACAGAAGGAAAATGTGTTGAGTTCCACTTTACTATGACAAGTGATTCCAAACTTTTGAATGGTATTGTAACTCAGTAGTGCATGACCCTGGTCCTGGAGTACCCCACCTTGCTCCAACACTCTTGATCCAACTAATCAGCTAATATGGCTTTATGAGTTGAAGTTGGAGTGTTGAAGAGGGGAAAGCTCCACAAACAGGGTTGGGAACCACTGGTTTAACTAACTCAATTTCCATCCCCATTATCATCATATTATTTTGTTCTTGTCTCATGGAAACGTCTTCAGTTACTTTAACTCCTGCTCCTCCACCCTAGACATACTCCTTAAGGGGCAGGCTGTTGGTGGTGATGGGTTTGGGAGGGTCCATGGCAGAGGGCCTGCTGTTCGCGAAGCTGCGGCCTATGTAGCCCCGCCTGTAGGCTGCTTTCTCCATGTGTGGGCAGGTGCTACTGAGCACCACCCCGCTGATCATAAGGATGACGGCTGCGGCCCAGCCCAGGTAGATGGCCTGGCCCAGCTCGCGCTTGTTCTGGATAGGGACGTTTGGGTTGTAGAAGTCCTGCACCACCGTGTTAGCTGTCCATGACACCGGAATGAGCACGCACAGGCCTGTGAGGATGAAGAGCACCCCGCCGGACAGCGCTATGCCAGCCTTGGCATGGCGATCGTCCCCGGCGCACGTGGTGCACTTCATGCCACAGCAGGACACGGTGCAGGACAGCCAGCCTAGGAAGATGGCCACGCACATGAGCGCCCGTGCCGCCTGGATGTCCGGCGGCAGGGCCAGCAAGGAGTCATAAGTTTTGCACTGCATGTGGCCAGTAGTCTGGTAGATGCAGTTCATCCATATACCCTGCCAGACGATCTCCGATGTCAGAATGTTGGGCCCTATGAAGGCTGTGACCTTCCACTGGGGCAGTGCTGTCACGGCGATAGCCATCACCCAACCTGTTACGGCACAGGTGAAGCTTATCAACTGCATCCCTGTGTTCACCATCCCGCCGCCCTCTCTGTACCACGCCTCCTCGGGCCACAACCGGGACGACACTTTTACTCCTGCTGGTGGTCCAGTTAAGGACTACTAAGGGCTACTAAAGCCCTTCAATCGCTCCGTCCTCCTACGGGTCGTCGGATCACGATCTCTGCCCTGCTTGCCTTTCAAACCTTATTGATCAATTTCTTTAGGAAACTTTCCTCAACTTTCTTAGCAATCCTCTCTCCAAACTTCTTGAAGAAGCCTCTCAAGACCTTTTCCTGTTTTCTTTCCCAGACATTCACCGTGTCAACTTTCTCCCACCTTTTCTTCGATATAATGAATTATTAAACACAAAGTACACAAAGCTCAGCCATGCAGGACTCTCTCAACTTCAGAAAAAGGGGTCCTAGAGGTCCAGAGTTGCTCTTGAGATGTTTGGCAGTGAGCGTCTTCCTTCTGCCTGTAAAGAACGATCCAGAGTTGTCACAGGAACATGTGTGTGTATTGCTCTCCTGGTTCGGTGTTGCCTTACTTCGATGGGTCAGGTAGATAAAATTCGATACCTTCGCACAGAAATGCAATCGAAGAAGGATCGCATCCAAGTGACTGCAGAACCACAGGCCCTCAAAAACAGCAGCTTGACAAATAAAATTGCTGCATGGAATTGAAATCAGTAATCAAGAGGCAAAATAAATAAATCTCGATTCATCAGAAAAGAATCAGACTCAGGATAATCCAGTGCTGCATGTGGGTATGGTAGAAAACATCAAAAAAAAAGCAGCAGATGAAGAAGTGAGCGCAGTCAGATGTGCAAGTGTGGAGAAGTGGACCTCTCTCCAGCCGCCCAGGTTGTTGAAGAGAATTCTCTCTTGTGCTGAAGAGTCGTGTCAAGAAAAGCCTGAATACGCAGACAGGGCGCCAAGCCAGAGGCCACTTTAGGACAAAGAAAGACAAAAGGCTATTCTCCTGTACAAGAAAGCACTACTGGGCTGTAGGTCTGTCTGAACTGCTATCGTCTACTAACTGATCCAAACATTCAAACCTTCAGGATGCCAATCGCAGCCATCTCCAGCAAATAGAAACCACAGGCCAGCAGCGGTCTGATCCTGGAAAGAGGAGCGAATGAATGGAGAGTAAGTGAGAGGCAGAGAGACAGAGATTGGGGGGGCAGGGAGGGAGAGAGGGTGGTGTGTAGGTGGATCAATTAGCACAAAGACAGTCTAGGGGCCCTCAGCAGTGGGGCTTGTGTGGTCTGTGTTTGTTTTAAATGGCTTGTTCAGAAAACTGCTTTCGCTTGTGTTTTGTGGGACAGGGCTGTTTTTTTTGTTTTTTTTTTGACAGGATGTGAGGGATGGAGGGTGACCTTTACCGAGAATAGAAACAAAATATCACAGAACATGTAATCTCAGATCATTTTGTGTGTAAGAACAATTCCCAATGAAAGCAGGACGTGGTTGTCTGTGATTAGCTGTGTTTTGTTAGAAAGAACAATATTTTCACTCATTTTTGAAAGTCACCCTTAAAAACAATATTTTGAAGTTTATCATGATTTCTTTTCTCTTAATATAAACTTTATATAAATCATTTTACAAGATGAAAGTCTCAAGTTAGGCATATAATCCTGCCATAGAATACATATATGTACCTGTTTTATGTAAACAAAGGCTTTTTTCACCATTTCTGACATGATTTTGTGTAAATAATCAAATTAGTTTGGTTAGCTGCCCTCCTGCCTCTCAGTTTTCGAATGGCATATATCAGTGTCTCAGTCGATGAATTAAATATCACGGTTAGAAGATCTGTGGTTCAAGTTTCCTTTCTCATGTGGACCCCTCTCCTTGGCAACAGTGGTCATGACAACAGACCAGAACACAGGAAATGAGAGAGGAGGGCCAGGTGCAGACAGGGGAACACAAAAGACGGGATGGAGAGCAGGCGGATGGTCCAGAATGGAGCGAAGAGACTCAGGCATACTTCCTTTGAATATCAGCAGAAGACGAGTGGTTTACGTAAATCGAGAAATGTCCTCATCTTCATTTTATTGTAGGACTGCAAAACAAGAGCACATTTATAGGTGCAGCCTCGTGCATCTTCACAACTAATGAGCCAGTAATGTTAACATTTTAAGCACATTCATATTATCAGAAGATGGGGTGCCACCCTATGTGTCTGGACCCCCCTTGTTACTTAAAGGTGCACCCATTACTGACACATCCACTCAGTCACACACAAACAGCTTGTGTCCTCTTCTTTGAAAAGCATTGTTAATAGAATGTGATGCTCTGGAGTAGCACATGAGCCTAATGCCAAGCGTCAACTAGAGGGGTATAAATCCCCCAACCTGGCCTCTGGAGCAGTGGAACTGTGTTCTCTGGAATGATGGAGCTCCATCCGTACCTTTGGGACGAGTTGCGTGATCTAAAACTAATCTTTCAACATCAGTACCTGACCTCATTAATGCTCCTGTGGCTGAATGCAATCAAATCCTCACAGCAATGTTCTAACATCTTGAGTAAAGCCTTGCCAGAAGAGTAGAGGCTGTTACTGTAGCAAAGAAGGACAAACTTCCTATTAATACTCGATTCCAGAAGAAATGTCAGATGAGCAACTTTTAGACATGGTGTACAAAAACAACCCATATCAACAAACTTATAATCAGTTATTGTAGATTTGCTTGTTTTAATTAGTGCATCTTCAGGCTTTTCACCCATCTATGTCTCCATCTAGTGGCCCACATCAGTTGATTGCTGTATTTGTTCTGGTATTTAGATAGTGTGACACAGAATCTGATTACTAAGGGGCCCTAAAAGAAGTAGTGGAAGCTTATACCCTAACAATTGGCACTGTGCTGTCTGCATGCCTCAAACACAAACCACCTCACATTTTAAAGTAAGCTTAAGTAGACTTGCAGACAAGGGTACAATTAAAATTCAGGCTTCAGTGGGTGCTACTACTGTGTTTTTAATCTATGTATTGCCCTTTTATTCATTTTTGTGGAGAACCATGCCAGTTCTCAGACATCACATAAGCAACTCTGTTAGGGATTACTTAAAGGGGAACTCCAACAATTTTTCAAAATATCTGCACAATTCAACCACTGAAGTCATTCTGGGTGGTGTGATTTGAAGTGCATTGTCGATAAGCTTATGGACTGATTATTTATTCATTTATTTTTAAGTATTAGTGGTAAGTTGAACCAGTATTCACAAGGAGTTCAACATTTAGCCATGTACTCACTATCCAAAATAAATCAATGAATTTATGTAAGTCTTCTGAGGTTTGTATATAAAGATGTTGATAATGGTTAAAAGTCTTAGGCATCAGATAACATGCTTTTAGCCATTTTGTGTAACAACTCTGTAAGCAAGCTAGAATGGAGCATTTTACATCAAAGCATCCTGAATCACTGTCAACGTTCTTAATGGCTGAGAAAGAAAGACAAAGAAAGATGAATTCCCCATTAACAACTCAATGCAGTTTGAGGAATGTAAGATGATTTAAGCATGTAAGTGCTAATGGTGAATCCCCATTGAATTTTTTGTTTCTTAGTAAAGCCTTAGGCTTAATCTGGGTCTGGAAAACTGGCATTAAATATCTTAGCTGATTGACTACATTTGGAATAAGAGGACATTTGTGTAAATTTGATTTTGAACTATTGCTTTACGCTAGTATACTGCAGGGTCTTGGTTTTGTTTTGTGGAACTGAAAATGCTTTATGCAGCGCTAGCCAACAGATGCAGAAACTACTGATAAAAGTGTGAAAATGCATAAAACAAGCTCATGTCTGTGGGAAATAAGGACAGAGGTTTTGCAACATAGGCATAAAATACCAATTTATTACTTTGCACAATAACACGAATAGTCCCTGCAGGCTAAAAGGAAAAAACAAAAAAAGGAAGGGTGGGATTTTTTTTTAAAATGTCACATAGCAATACACTGATGTGGCACCTCTGATAGAAGAGGCCAGAGGAAGCCCTAGCAAATCAACAAGAGCGCCCTCTATTGCTATTAGACAAGTCACACAGCTCAGAACACTAGAATACAGCACAAAAGCTACACAAAAAATAAAATAAATTACAATGCACTTTTGTCCAATAACAAATCTTTATATATCAAAGAGGATTAAAAAAAGGTCATGCTCTCTTAATTTTAGGGGGTAGAGAGAGAACTGGTAAAAAGGTTAAAAAGAGGTAATCCTTGTGTAATCCTGGAGCATCTGGACGCTTGGACAGAGTATGAGTAAAATGTGTCAATTAGACGGTGCCACTGTACTGCAGAGGAAAAGGCCAAGAGGGCCTAAAGCCAAGCAGTGTAATGGCATCTTGCTAAACAAACAGAGGGGGGTACCGGGTCAGTCTCGGCCGTCCCTGACTGAAAACAAAAAAAAAAAGAAAAGAAGAGAAACAAAAAATAAAAACACGAAGTACCTCGTTTGAGTGGGAGCTCTTGCCAAGACTTGACTCGGCACCCCCTTCCAGCATCCAGCCTGTCCCTCAGGAGTTACTGACGTATGTGAAGGAATTTTCAAATCTTGTCAAAAGAGACTGGTTAATATTGCTACCCTAAAAACAGTCTCAATTAATTCATAAACATTTACAAAAAATGATTTTTTTTTTCCTCTTTCTGAGACAATAAATATTCTCTAAGAGATTTAGGACAATACTCTGGCATGCAGGCGAGCAAAGTCTAAAATTTATAGTTCTCCATAGAGCCTAAAGAGCTAGTCCACCGAATGCACATTCCCACTGATTGATACAAGCAAAAAAAGTACAGAAACACAAACGCCAATAGGCTATCAGACCAACAGCCACATTAATTAGAAGAATTATAGCTTTGCCTTGTTCATAATTTGGATTATATTGCTGTGCAATGATAACAAGTAATCGAAAATTGTCATTTCACAACCGGTTTAGTGAGATTCATGAGACACAATTGATCTAAAACCTCGTACGATGTGAGCTCAGTATTAGAAGAAAAAGTTGAGTAGAAACTTGTGAAATTGCCCAACACCTTTATCCAACTTATTGCAAGTGATGCCTTGGCCCCAGCCCTTTCTTAAAGGGCCAGCAGTCATGCCCTGAACAGGTGAGTGCTCAAACTCATTTATAGCAAACCTGCTGCTTTACGGTTTATTACAAAAGGGTTTTTGCCGAGCCACCCGCCTGACAAGGCATGCATGCTGACACCCTTCGAAACCACTTCACCTGGGGCAAGGCTCGCTGTCATTCAACTGCACCAAGCCAGGTGTTGTCAGGTCCAAAGGCAGTGCTTATGCTTGTGTCTCTTAGCAAATGGTATAATGTTTTTGTTACATTATGAAAGAAAATACTATAAGTTTAGACTTTATATATAGATACACATGTTCAAAACACACACACGCACAACAGTGATAAAAACACATAGCAAGTGTAAAATTCAAATAACTGCCAACTATCTAACCAGCACTAATTTTCCCACCGAGCCCTGATTGTCACTCATCTTTCCTCTTTCTAATCCCATCTTTGCCACCAGTGGACACAATTTCCCCAGCAAGTCACCATCAGACACGCGGGGGCAGTAATAAGGTCAAAATCAAAAATCTTTGCCACAATAACTCATTACTTCCAATACATAAAAATCACAAAATGAGCCAAAAGGAAGACCAACCAACCAAAGCACTTTGGGCCCCACAACAATGGCCAGAATGCTACAACATGTTCAGCTACGAAACCAGATTCACCCGACACCATCAAAACGACTCCTGGATAAATTCATTATGCAACTGAGCTGCTGACGGTCTGATATTCATAATAGCAACAACATTAACAACGGTAGGAACAACATTGACTTTCTATACTAACTGTTAAGATAACCACAAAACCTTTTTTTTTTATATTAAACTCTTAAAAATCTGATTTGAATCTTACGTAGAAATGCATAAAAGGTAAGAGAGAGTGCTGTAATTTTGCGAGCTTTGCCTTCTTTTCACAATGCCAGCCTCTGTTTGGCTAGCACCATGTCCAAAAACCATGCTAAGGCCACATCCCAGGACCTTGTACATAACCATCCAAACAAGGACGTACAGGTTTCCAACCTTGCCACAGGCAGAATGCCACCTGTGCCAAGCCCTAATTACCCTGGCCTGACGCCCCATCAATCACACAGCTAAGACCATGGGTAACGTTACTGCTACACACAACCACCAGCTTATGCAAGCCTGTAAAAATCATCTACTGAAATAGGCTTATATAGATGTAAATATTTTTTATATATATCTATATATGTGTGTAACCATAAAAGAACTGAGGCATTTACAGCAGTTAACTCCTTGATTTCCCTTTACAATTCAGTGGCCTGCCATGAAACTTGTACTTACACACTTACACACTTACACACTTACACACTTACACACTTACACACTTACACACTTACACACTTCTCTGCAAAATGGGAGAAGAGTAATGGGTATGGATACCCAGGTCACCTCGTTTGTAAAAGACTGAGCGGAGAGAGTTAAAATACGACTGTAAAAAGGACAGAAAGAGAAAAAAAAACCAAAAAAAAAACCAAACAAAAAAAACAAAACAAAACAAAAAACCCAACCATTCTCAAATCATGCAAGCCCCATCCCACCCAAAAAGACAATGTGACAAGTTTCAGCCAATATTGGCTTGAGGTAAAGGTAGACAGAGTCCAGCTTAGCTGAGAGAGCCAGAGCTGTCCTGACGAAATGGCGCAGGTTCGCTCACACTCAGTGTATATTACAAATAATAAAAGGAAAAAAGACATTCAAAACTGAAAAACAAATTCAAAATGGCTCAATTTTTTCTCTGTGCCTTGGAGACCAGCGGTCTCTCAGTGCAGGATTGCTGGTGGGCGGTTCCTCTGAGGCTGACCGGTAGAACTGGACTTGTGGTCGGCCCGCTGGCTTTGGAACCGCTTTGGTGTTGATGAAGACACGATAGACAGAGAGAGAAGAAAAAGAGACAGAGAGAGAGAAAGCAAGACAGAAAGAGATAGGAGATAGACTGAAGACTGAAGAGGGAGCGTTGAAGTGCATCTCCTGCTGGTTGAAGTAGTCAGGCGAAGTACATGGTGTGCTGGGTGTCATAGTGAATCTGGACGGCCTTAGCCAGGGCCTGAGGGTCCCGACCGTTACTCTGGCCTGATACGTGACTGCCCTCCGCACTGCAGGACGAGCCGAGAGACAGAGATATCAAGTCAGCTTCACAAGAACTTTTGGCCATTATCTTAGTCATCATACCACTGAATTCAACTGCATCGATTTTTGAATGTCAGAAGGGATGATATGATATAGAAGGATGATATGACAGAATAATACCTTGAGACATTAGCACTGGTGTGCTGTGGTCATGGCCTCGTGCCACAGATCAGCACAGTACTGCCAATATGTTACAGTTTAGCATGACTTACTGTATTATTGCACTTATACCAGTTTTATTATTGATAGCCAAAAGATTTGGTGAATTCACTGTAGTTTGAATAGGCTTCTTACTTCTACTTTTAAACTTAATACTTGCTGGCTGTTGTTGCTAGGTTACAGGTAAATAACACTCAATGACACTTTAAGAAATTTATTTGGAGTGCCACTATTGGCAGACATTAGCACTCTCAGAATGCCTTTTATCCAATCACATTGTGAGGTTGGTATGAACTGTGGTATAAACAATTATAATAGCATTCAATAAAGTATGCACCCATTTTTCCATCACTTTATTATTATTACTTATATATAAAATTATATTTAAGTTTCACCAAAAAAAGCGATGTATTATTTCATCTAGATTACACTAATGTGTAAATAGTACCTCCAGGCACATTTGTGTATTCAGTGTATTTTAAGTCCTAAAGATCACAAATTATGTGAAGTTCTCACATACCTGTCATGGTCTTTGTCCACTAAGTGGTAACGGGCACGGAAGGCAACAAGCCGGGCATAGTAGGCCGGCGCAGGGATGGAAACTGAGCGTGTGCAGCGCACGTATGTGTGGCACAGCTGATAGGTGAGCAATTGTAGCTCGTCCGCAGTGAAGCAGTTGTCGTCCCAAAGCACATGGTAGTGTGAAGGACGACTGGTGCCCTACAGAAGTGCAAAAGGAATTATAGACTGAGATGGATAGATGTACAAGTTAACGTATAAATGAACAGGAAGGAAGTGTGACTGACCTGGATACCAGCATGGCTGCACAGGTAGAAGTCAAACTCTGAGGGATGGGTGATAGTACTGTCCACTGTAGTGCCTGCTGGAACATTACCGCTCTTCCCAACCTTCAAATGGTGACAAATCAATTAGATCAGTGAGGTAAAAAAGTTGCTAAATTCATGGGCCTGATTTAAAAATAAATTAATAAAATGCTTACTAATTGGTTTTAAAACCAAATTACTGCTAAGATTTTATTCCTGCTTACTCTCTCGGCTTTGTCAGAGCAGAAGAGTCGAGTGTGGTGGCGTTTCTGCACTACAATGTAGGTGATCCCTGGCCTGTAGTCCTCCTCCAGACTGATACATGCTTTCCTGATGGCTATCAGCTCCGGCCATGCAACCTACACACAGACAATAAAGTGAGTGACAAACACCAATGACAAACTGAAAAAAACACACATTTTTCCCTGAGGACCACTTAAAGAGTTATGTACCAAAACACACTGGCACAATTAATTAATTTTCCAACCTCTCTTTATCCCTCTCTTAAACAGGCTGTGTTTCTTAGTCTGCCTTTTAGATTGTTATATAGATAACCTTGTTCTGATTGAATGCCCTGTGCTGTTTTGATGAATCTGCACCATTTTTGCAGCTTAGTTTCCATATACACTCACTTTATTAGGCAGACCTACCACACAAACATTTATTAACTCCACTTATATAGGAGCACTCTGAAGTTCTACAATTACAGACTGTAGTCCATGCGTTTCTCTGCATACTTTGTTAGTCCCCTTACACCTTGTTCTTCAATGGTTAGGACCCCCACAGGACCACCACAGAGCAGGTATTATTTAAGTGGTGGATCATTCTCAGCACTGCAGTGACACTGACGTGGTGGTGGACTGTTACTGTGTGTTACACTGGTAAGAGTGGATCAGACACAGCAGTGCTGCTGGAGCTTTTAAACAGCTCAGTGCCACTGCTGGACTGAGAAACAGATGGACTACAGTTTGTAATTGTAACACTACAAAGTGCACCTATATGGAACATGGAGCTGATAAAATAGGCAATAAATGTAGATACAAGGAAAGTGTACCTAATAAAGTGCTCAGTGAGTGTACAGCCTGCATGGACTAGGACATGAATGATGCATAATGAAAATTTTAAAACTTTAACAATGTTCACATATTACATTAAACATTTATTTTTTAAAAAGCAAGGAAAATTAGTTTTTTCATATATGAGCCCTTCATAACTAAGATTATAAATAATTAATTGTGTGTTAAAAAAATGAAGTTCAGGTGCTTTGAAGTACATCCATCGTCTGCTGTTCTCACCTGTTTCATTTGCCCCTCCGACACACCTCCACGGTAGTAGATGATGCGCGTGGGTTTGAAGCGGGTAGACTTGTAGAACTGGATGAGCAGCTCGCGCACCATGTTGGTGAGGTCCTGTATGACTTCCTGACTGTAGAGCTGCTCCTGGGACAGGTCCTGGCGTGAGGTCTGCACTCGCACCGTGGCACAGTATCGGCTGGGGTGGCCGTCCATGCTGCCCACCACCGCTGCAATGGATGGCTTCTTCCCATCTCCTGCTGGTGGGTGAGTAACATCAGCGCCAAGGAAGATCACTGGCTGCTGGAATACAGAGGGCCTGATGGGGAGCACAATGAGGGTTACAAAGATACATAAAGTCTCTTTACTTGTGAGTAAAATGACTATATGCTGATATATTTATACTGATGTCATAAGGAAGTGGTTTCCAAACGACATTGGAGGTACATAAAAAAAAAAAAAAATAATAATAAATTTGACGTTAACAATTCATTTCATCAGCCGGCCACGCAACTACACAGGTACTGCCCCAATACAGCTAATACAAGCAGATCTGCACTCCACTAACCAACAGCTAAACAAAACAACAATCACTGAAACTGCTACTAGCAGATTTCTGAATACTGAGTTTAATCTAAAGCCAATGCCAAATTTTTAATAACATTGCACTCTGGTGTATACACACGAGTGATGAGTGAGTGGTATATTTATAACATCCAGCATACGACAAACCAACGCTCTAATGGTATTTTGCTCTTTATTTATTATAATAGGCTGCGTTGGAGAAGAAAGCGTTTCACACTGGTTCCTTCTGCATGTTGAGTGTTCTGAAGAAACTAACTTGTAGTTCATTCATTATCAATCAATCAACCTTTATTTAATCTCTGAGAACATTGACGGTGCCCCTCATTTACAGTGTTGCCGAGTTAATACAGAGCAAGGGACTGATAATGTGTAACACTAACATATCAAATAATAAAAGTCAATTTAATAAATGAAGACTCAGATCGGGTAAGTATAAAAAGTGAAACATTAATAATAAGAATACATAAAAATATAAAAATATATAAAACTAATTTGAACATAAAATGTAAACGTTAATAAAATCAAACCAAAATTAAACAAGAGGAAGATAAAAAAAACACAAACAAATTTATTGAAATGACAAATAATAAAATAATAATTAAAATAAGAATAAGAATATGAATAATAATGGATAAAATGACAAATTAATTAAATAATGAAAATGAGATAAAAATGGTAAAAGTTATCGTATGCTGTTGTTGGCACGAATGGAGTGAGTAGCATTTAACAACAGTTCTTAGAGCCTTTAAGATCTTTGTTAGTTGTGCACTCGAGTTAGTGTCACTTTCACAGACACCGTTAGGTTTGTAGTTGTAGGGAGGTATTAGGTTGTAACTGCTGTGAGTAGTGCTTGGCCTTTAGTATTTTGGGTGTTTTTTTTCTTGAGCTGGTTTGAGGTGTAGGGCTGTTAAAAACTAAACAGATGATGCTACTGTGCCATATGTGATCTGCGGCATGATTTTGTTATTCGCAGTTTCTTTTTACAGCTGCAGACTCTCACACATGCATAAGTGCCCTCATATAAACCACTGTGCACTTAAATAACATGACTTATTCAGTATTATTCAGTATATGTGGTGTGATGTGTCACTGCATCATGCAAGTGTCACTCAGACATGCTTGATATTTTAAGGAGGACTGATTTAATTGGACTAAATGTCTTGCATATGCTTCACGGCAATATGTAAACGTATGTGTAAAAAGTGAAAGGGGGTACACAGCAGGTGGTCTCAAGGGGTACAGGACTCTAAAAAGTTAGTGAACCACTGTCATACGGAAAATTCTTAGCTCCACAATGGCAGGAAAAGGGGAGTAGACATTTCAGTTAATATAACTTAAATTTTAAGGTTTGCTTTTATAATTTTCAATTCATCTGTCCATTCTTCATGACACATACACATAACATAAAGGGTAGGAGCTGAGTTATCTTATAGCAACAAAAAAACACTTAATATCATCTCGTTAGAAGTTCAGAACCTACAGTACCAAACTTCTGATGCAATAAGCACATGTGAGACTCTGAATCTTCATGAACAAATTTCTGGAATTATTCATTCTTTTTGCTCGGTGAATAAATTCTGTATAATTAAATTACCGTTTAAATAATTTAATAAATAATAAGAAAAACAAATAGTGTCAATAGGGTATAGTGTATTTGATTTGACTCAAATAGAAATAAAACAAATAGGACACATAAAAGATCTCCATATCAAGAATAAACAAACATCTCAATCTCATTTCCATAACACAGATAACCCTTACCTCTGATGGGGCACCAGGACATTATTGATGCCACCCAGCTTGGCGTTAATCTTGAGGCAGAGATTGGAGAGCGTCTGTGGGGAGGTCTTCACCACATTCTTCACCTGCACACACTGGGTAGCCATGCCCAGCAGAGTGTCCCCAACACGCTTCACCTCCGCTAAGGACACATGAGACACAATGGTTTAGCACACTCTAGATTTGCTCCCAAGCTGATCCATTATTCACAATTCATGCATAGTAACGTCTTAACAATATACAATATATAATACTTCATTTTAGGGATCATTTGGTCCCAAGGAGACTTAAAGCAAATGTAATCTCTTTACCATAGACAGGTGTTTTTCCAGGCAGGATGACCACAATGAGTTGCAGACCAACGTAAGACATTTTAAGGTGCTTGAACATGGGCTCAACACTGTCAGCTCCTTGGGCATACTTGCAGAAGCAGGGCTGGCCCTGGATTGGCATGCCTGCATCCTTAGAGATTTTCCTCAACTGGTCTGTGAAGCTCCTGAAGAGAGAGCAACAACATGGCTTAAAGATGGGGTCATCACTGTATAAAACAAGCACAAGGCTTCCTTTATTGCTGGTTTTTCCCATGCAAGCTTATTCACAGTGCAATTCAGATCAGTAATTTCTTATTATTGTTTAGTTTAATCAGAGCTACAAAACAGGCAACTCATGTGCAACTTGTGTTCTAATTCTTGTGTTTTCTTGTTCAAAAAGAGCATTTGTAACACAAAAATCTGATTTTTCAGCTTTGTTATGTCATGTTCTTAACATATCAAAAGAATTCCACAACAGCACTGAGACACTGGGCCTAATTTACCAACCGTCCTTAAGAAAAAAAATCTTATTAAAGCCCTGTAAAACCCACTTATGCAGTTTTCACAAAAATTCTGACATTCACCAATGCTTTTGGGATTTGTTCTTAGGTAAGAACAGAATCGATGCACACTCAACAGCACAAAGGAGTGAACAATTCTACAGTTTAAGAACACCTCATGAATCTGACAGACTTTTCTTAGGACCTTTCTCAATAACAAATTTACCAAAAAAACTCGAAGATATTGGTGAATGAGGCCCAATGTTATTACAGAGAAGAGCAAATTAAATGACAGAAAAAAGTCTTGTTTTTTTGCATAACCCTTAAGGGGTTATCTAGTATGGAAGACCATTCAGAAACACCTGACAGATACTTACTTGAGTAAGTCCTCACGGCACTGTTTCTGAGGGGCAAAGCAGGCCACGGCCCACACCTTGATTTCGATGCCTGCATAGAACTGCTTCCCCCTCATGTCCCACACGCCCTGGTTGGGCGTAGCCACCGTCTTGTTCTGGGGAGAGAGTCCCTACACTCTTAGTGAACCCCTCGGCCTCAGCACAGGATACACACATTACTCAAACCCAAACATTACTCAGCCTGCTCAAACTACTCATTATTATACAATACATATAAACCAGCATCAAGGAACCACATAATTATGTGTAAAGAAAAAGATCATAGGAGGATAACAGAATACCCAAGATTAGTCTGAATACTAGTGTCAAATATTTAATTAAGAGTAAAGGAAACTACGCTTAACCAACGTTAAGCACAGTTTGCAAATGTCAGTGCTAAAACACAAATGCAACCCTTAAGAGACAAGGTTGACTTGAGCAACTCCAGTATTCAGAAGATTTATTGTTCAAGCTGCTTAAAGATGGGACAGAAGTGTTAAAGATATTTTCCATATTTGGTTAGATTTCTATAGCCAATACAGTTCAAATACAGACCCTGAAGACCAGAGATGATCACATGTTAGAAAAGCAAGTGGTTAGAATATCAAGACATTCAAACAAGTGTTTAAGATCCTTAACTGGGGGCAGAAAAAGATTTTATATTTTAAAAGGTTAGGAGTACACATCACAGTCAAAACTGTATATTCTAAAGATCTCACTTAATAGTTATCAGTCTATTTGTATTCATTACTAACATTTAATAGGTTAACAAATTACACTGTTAAAGGATTACAGCAAAACATCAAGCAGGGCATGGTGGATGCAGTTAGTAGGTTAAGTGACCCTGTAAAGTTCAACAAAAATGAGAGATTGCTTTTCTCTTTACCGAAAAACAACTAAAGTGATTAGATATATTCAGTGCTGCAAGTAACTCCTTGGGCAAATAGAAAAGCAGTCTTTCAAAAGCTTCACACATTCTTGAGGAAGAAGATAAGACTCCACTGGCCAGGAAACTCTGGCTCTATAACACACTCTAACAAGCTAAAATCTTAGTACCCACAAGGTATCAAGAAAAGCCAAATTAAACTCTAAAATCTTTAAATGGCCAGGTAAATTTACACTAAGAAATCAAACAATAAAATACACTTAACAACAATGATAATATCACACCACAGTACAACACTGAAACCAAGGGCTAATGTTTATATAAATCCACACATGCACTTGTCAGTGCTACCTGAGTGCATCATGGAATACTACAGTCTTATCCTCCTCCTCTTGGTTAGTCCAGTCAGCCCACCACAAATCACAACACGCACACACACCCACCCATGTTTCCGACCCACCCGTACTCACCCTGCACCCGTGCCCCAGTACTCACCCTGCCACAGTCCCTCCCAGTGTCTGTACTCACCCGGCCCCCATACTGCAGCATGGGCGCTGGGAGGACCCGCCCCATCACCTCCGTCATATCATTGTGCACCACGATGCCAAACTCTTTGAGGTAGGGGTCAGGCCCGCCTACCATGCTGTTGCTTTTGACCTGAAAGAAAGAAGTTGTTGAGCACTGAGATTTAGAAATCAAACCACTCAAGGCACACTGTCAAGTCATCATTTTATATAAGTATTTTTGGACTGTTTAGCTAGCACCGAGGATGTAATGGGTAAAGTGACTGTTTCTAGGCAACCAGGCTGTTTCTGCGGCTGCTAATGAGTGAGATTCCAGAGGGTTAGATTGCTGGTTGTCATTACGGCTCAGATTTAGCATTACAGATTTTTGGAAGACTAAAGTTGGGGGAGCTGATGGATTCAACGAACTAAAATCAAGCTTATTACTAATTTGGGATAATGAACAAATCTCAAAACCCAAAAGGAAGCACAGAATTGTCTTACATTTGCCAAACTCTAAAGGTCAAGCTTTGAGAAGAAAAACTGTGTAAAAGCCCTCTGCCAAGTCACACCTGCTAAAATCTTTAAAGGGGAATCCCAGTGACTTTTCTACATTTTTATAATTCATTAGTTAAGAAAAAGCCATCAAAGTCATTCATATTGATTTGATGTGAAACACTGCCATGTTGAGAAGTTTACTGACTCAGATTTCATTACAAAGGTTGTGTTAGGAACCAGGGGCCTACAATGCAAATCTAGCTATTTTATTTATTATACATAAGGAGCATTTGTATGTAATGAAAATGTTAAAATAGTGGTAAATCTGAAAAGAGGAGTTATCTTTGGGTACTGTTTTGCCTTAAAGCACACTACCTCATAGAAAATGCCTGCAAAGACATTACAGTGGTGGTGAAAGGAACCAGACGTTCAAAACACGTAAACAACTGACAATTCTCTAGAACAGAGCATTTCACAAACCACTCTGAATGACTTGCGTCTTAATGTTTTAATTATGCATAATTGTTCGAAGAATCAGTAGAATTAAACTTATATTTGTATATTCCTTTAAGTTAGCTAAACAATGTTGGTGGTTCTGCTTTGAAATCAAGGCTATAAGCACAGCCATTGTAATCTCAGTAGTCTTCATGACTGAATTATCTCTGAGTGGCAGCAACAAAACATTTGAAACAATAGTACTGTACAATGAAACTCTGACAATGGCTTTGGAGGCTTAAGTTGGCTTTAAAAAAAAAACAAGTGTGTTCTTCCAACTAGTGCTGCAAAAGCTTTCCTTTACTTAAAAGTATGTTTTTGTTCATGCAATGACAGTGGAGGTGAAGCAGCATCAGTTTCATCTATTTGAGGCTCGCTCACCAGCCTGCTGATCTCCTCCTGGCGGTCTGGAGCTGAGCGAGCGGTGGCTTTGATCATGGTGGAGGTCTGGTTGTCAGTCAGCTTCTTTATGCAGCGCTGGCCTGCCACAATGTTACAAACCTGTGGGGGTTTGTAATATAAGTTTAGGAATGTCAAAGTGAAAAGATTCATTTCTGATGGTTAACATCCTATGGAGGACTTCATTTTATGGGGAAAGTCTGTCACACAATAGAGGTGGGACACGGTGGAATGGCTCACCTCCAAGGGTAGGTATGTGTGCTTTTGTTCCTGCCCCACCTGAAGGCAGGGCAGGTGGGGATATTTGAGCTGCAGACTGTACTTCTGTTTGAAATATTGGGCTACAGTGCATTCCATGGCCTGTCCATTTTCTAGCTGCAAGGGAAATCTGTCAAAAGATTTGTTCATTATAAGAATGTATGTGCGTACTGAAATTTTTGTTCTAAATGTGTGACTGTAAATACATTGTCATTCACAACACCACTTGGTACAGAATGACATTTAATAAGAAGATAGTGTCAAAAACTACAAATATGTAAGGAAGAAAAAAGTCTCAAGCTTGCTACAGAGACTCACGTCTGGTGGCTGGCTGGGCGGCGCGTGACATTGCACACACGGTACTTCCTCTTCATCTGACCACAGTGTGTGACCTCCACTTTCAGTCCTGCTCACAGAAACAGCAACCATTTTAACAGCAGTGCAGGCAAAAGCACCTCAATGGTTATTCAAATTAGGCAAAAAAAGAACTATTGTATTAAATTGTGCCTTTTTGTATCAAATTCAACATAAGCAAGATTTACAGTTTAAATGGTTTCAAATATTTACACAAGGTCAATGCCAAGACCTCACACTGGTCCTGGCCTAATCCACCCGCTCACCTCGGATCTCCTTGGTGAACTTGACACGTTGAGAATCTGTCAGGGGTTTGGTCTGCTCATTGATGTTTTGGATGTCTAAAACCTCACACATGAACTCAATCACTGGCTGGGCACGATAGAATGCAGTGGCTGAAACTGTAAAATTGAGAACAAAAAGATGAATTAACAAAGACAAATTATTACTATTATTATTATTATTATTATTATTAACATCAACATTGTTTTCAATTTCAAAGCAACAGATTACAGATCCTGTTGAAAACCTCTTACCATCGATGTTGAGCATCATGTTCCACATGGCTGGACGGACAGATTGATGGAACCCAAACCACACCTCCCTCCCTCCTCCCAACGGGTGGTAGTAACCTTCAGGAGGAGAGAAGAAAGAGCGGCCGACAGGAGTGTACCTGCACAGAAGATGCAGAGCGGTCAGAAAAGAATAATGCCATCAAATATCAAATCTGTCTTAGAAGTATTTACTGCAAGACAGTTTGGTTCACTTGATTTTAAAGACTGCTGCTTTTGGCCACTCACCCACACCAATAAAACCTGTGCTGAATGACCACTATCTCCGAATAGAATCAAAAGATACAGGAATTAAGCTAAGCTATGATGTGTCTTCCAGTTCTAGCAATAAATGGTTACATACCAGAACAATCAATCAATTAAGGCAAGGCTAAACAATTTGGGGTATACAGACATCCTATTATGATTCTGCAGACCAGTATTGAATGCGATTTAAACTGCGATTATTTTTAATAAATTAGGGCAAGGGTCTTCAAACTCAGGGCCCCATTGACAGTTCATGTTTTTGCTCCAACCTAACTCAAAATGAATCAGGATGGAACAACAAATGTGAACAATCTGGGGCACCCTGAAGACCAGTATAACCTCTAAATTAAGTTTTTGGCATTTTTTTTTTTGGACCAAGAAGATCAGCTTATCCACGTTTTCTGGCTTCAGACTCAAGGGCTAAATGCAACATGCCGAACAGCCAGCAAGTTGTGGTTGTGTTATCATGTATAACGTCATGTCATGTGTTTAGCTGCTTCTCATTGTTCTAACTCATCTACAGGACAGTCACGATCTGTGTTACCAGTAAAATCTTGCCACTTAAATCATTTAGGCTTAAAATTCAAATTAGGGCACTTAAGATTTTTTCCTTTTAAGTACAAAAAAGATTTATCTTTCAGCTCTAAAAGAAGGGCTCTTTACCAGCTGCAGAGCTAGTAAACAGTCCGGTCTCATTAACTCCCATCAAGGAAGTTTCATGACAAAAAATTTTCAGTAAGAGGAATTTCTTACATAAAAAAAAAAAAGCATCCAAAACTCGTAGCTCAACTAACAGTTAATGGCTTTAGCTTACCTCATGGAGGGAAGATGGCGTGTAATAACATCCAGGGCCTGGACGGAGTCCTCAGGAACCTCATTCAGGTGACCAGACAGAGCTTCCAGGAGCATCTGCAGGCTGACCACTGACACCCACTGCAGAGACACCTTAAAGGTCTGGTCCTTCCCCTCACCAGGCAGGGTCACCTCCAGATCCACCTAAAGTGTACACAAATCAATTACACACAGATGCCAAGAGGGACTACCTGATGCAGATTTAGAGAATCACAGCATGAACTCATGAACTACTACGAGGAAAACACAAAAGCTGCAAGAGTAAGACATGGCTCGTGTCCAGGGACAGCTAGCTTACCCTGTCTCTCCCGATGGGCAGTGGCTGAGCCGTGTACATGTTCCTCTTGCCATCATATCCAGGTTGCCGATCCCCAAAGATCTGCATCTTGAAGTGTCTCACCATTGTGTCCACCACCTCTCTGTGTACGATAACAAAACATTTAGAAAAGCAATTAAAATAATTCTCATCCTCCATCTCTTTGACCTCTTGTTCAATGTTCTTTCTTACCTGTTAACCCTTCGAGGTCGTTTCTCTGGCTTGATTTCAATGTCATAGTGGTAGACATCGATTTTGGGGATTTGCACCTGGAAGTGATTGGCCAGCAGGCGAATCGGCTTCCCCACCGAGCCAAAGCCAGGCCGGCGTGGAGGATGAAAAAGGGAGGTAGGAGCAGGCGGGCCTGCAGAACATGAACACACATAAAATCAAACTACACTATAGTGGGGCTGCAGCAATTAGATGAAAAAAATAATGTAATTCTGAATTGCATGGCGAGGGGGGAAAAAAAAATAATCCACACATCAACACATTTGTTCACAGAAAAGCAATCTATAACACTCTTTAGTGTTCATATGACGTGATCTTCCAACAGACTGCAATACACTAAAGGAAATGCTGGGGACGACACTGTCCATTGTTTCACTGCAACATAAAAGAAACAAAATCACTTGTTACACAAACAGAACGATAAGGGTGCTGTGACAGGGCCAAGTGAGAGGAACTTGCAGCCAAAGCAGAGAGCACACTAAACAAAATCTTACGCTACTCATAAAGGAGTCTCATAACTAGTCATAAATGCTACTACTCATGTTCGTTCATATTTACTGGACAATTAATGCGTGTAAACATTACTGGCCAACAGGTGCTAGGACAGACAAGAACAGGTTGACAGACAATGCAATACAGCGCGAATGAGCTAACGTCTTGCCCTCTGGCCTTCTAATAATGGACAAAAGATGGCCAAACAAGAAACAATGACCCTCAATTATCAGCACCTCAACCACAGTTTATGCCCCCACCTCACTCAGAACATATGTACGCCACCCAGACAAAAGGCAACGCGCCCAAGACAGGCAGCAACAGGGCCATATGGGGAGACTCAAGAGGCTGAGACTAAACAAACAGGAACCACAAATATCATACAGAAAACACATCTAAAATGTCACTTTCTCTTTTTCCTTTTCTAAAACAGACAATTATTCCTGACCATGAAGTGCCAAACAGTGGAGTTTTACTTATTTAGTACTCAAATGTCTTCATGAACTTTATTTTATAAACATTACATAGGAACACACCCTGACTCATAAAAACTCAAATAATTTTCACTGATAATCCAGTGCATAACTTAATTCTCTTATTACAGTGTTACAGGTACAGTACATAGAAAATTAAAGTGGTGCACTGTGAGGTACTGTACATTATGTCAAGCTGTTCATGAGGGGGTGGATGCTGTGTTGCTTTGTCAGACTAAAGGGGCTTCATGGAGTCCAGGCCCCTAATGCTCCTACACGCTCCAGTTAGCATGGGAAGCGTTGGGGGATGACTGGGTGCCTCTGTGCCCCTATCTTGCTCCTGGACTATGGTGCCCCCATGTAGCCCCCTCCTCCAAGCCCCTCTGAGCATTACAGAAGTAAAGGGGGGGAAGGGGGAGAGCATGGCTAGAAGGGAAGAGGAAACAGGAATCGCCCCCACTTTAATCAAAAACAAGCCAAGCTCTGTACATAGAGCGCAGCGCTGGCCGTTTGTAGTCACAGTATCACTAAGAGTTACTCAATGGTGCTTCCATTTCTGTCTAAAATTAGCATCTACCATTTTCACTTCAGCTTCCTGTTGCATCTATGCTGCTTTCCTGTATGAATATTTATTTTTCACCACAATAGTTTGGACCTAAAAACATGATCACGTACACTTCCTCAAAATTACCTCTATCCTCAATTTCTTACAACCATGAAAATTCTTATTTACACTTCCCTGAAACATCTGATCAAGGCTTGCCACAATTACATAATCGCCTGGTCACAACTAAAACTACACAATAAAGTAAAAAAAGGACAACCATTTTATTTGTATGTCAATTAATCGTCTTAAATTTCATGACAGTGACAGGCTGAGGTGGGGCCCCAACTTGTGGAACAGCATGAAGGATGAACATATTAAGCTATGAGCAATGGCACTGAGCAGCCAGTGAGCAGCTAGATCATCTGGATTAAATTATTACACAGCGTACAACACAACCAAGCAGGTGGATCACCCATGACCCTGAGAGCACAGGACCTCACCACAGAGAGATGATGCAGCCAACAAATCAGAAAGTAGACGAGAAAATCCTCTTAATGGCACCAAACAACACACATATCTATACTTCTTTAAGAGTCTATCTGATGTGATCATTGATGAAAGCCCTAATTCACACTGGTTTCACTATAAAACAAATGCCATTCTTTGTTGAGATTCTAATCTGTACAATGCACAACTGCAGTCACATTTTTCTGTGATAATATACAAAAAAAAAAGAAAATCTGACCAGTACTTGCTTCTGACACTAAATACAGAGACTATGTTTGGTAATCCTCCACATTCATGCACTTATTTCTTTTTTTGTTGCTTATTTAAGTAGAGCACCTTATGCTATATTATTCAAAAAGTGCTCAACGTAAGCAGGGCTAATATTATGAGCAAGCACTACCCACTACCTGTGTTCAGTCACAGCTATTGTCTGACAACCCAAAGGTTAACATTGGGATGCAACAAAAGACTCAAGGACAATTTATAAACGAAAAGCTTGTTTGAATAACAGTACAATTTAAAAAAAAAAAAAAAAAGTCCATGTTTCATTACATCATGGGTTTGTAATATTTACAGGTCTGCAGTACAAGTGTGTTTGGCGTTTTAGCTTTGAATAAATTAAGGGGCACATATCATAGTTTATAGCACTTTACCCCCCCAACCAAAATGTCATAATTCATGTTCACATGACCACTTAGCCTCTCTTTTGTCCTTTAGAATAAATCAGGCCATTTCGGTTACTGTAGCTTTAAGACAAATATACACATAAATTACCTTGTCAGTGATCAGAGGCTTTGTATCCTGCCTTATTCAAAAAGCCATCCAGACTAAAAACTCCTTAGAAGTTCAAGATGAATGGGAGGAACTAAACTGCTGTAGGCTGAAATAGGGGTGGGCGATATCTCACAAATTTAATATCATGGTACTTCAAGACATTTTCACAATACTCATCACAATATTTTGTTTCTCCCTCTCAAAAAAACAAAATTGTGTAGCGGCACATAAAAAACACAACAATAATAATAATAATAATAATAATAATAATAATAATAATCCTGCAACTACAATGATTTTATTCAATGTTTTACAAACTGTACTGCACTAAATCCAACTAAACAGACCTAACTATGCCCACTTTATACATCCATGATATCGATAAGAAAAGCGTATAGTGACAATTTCACATTCAAACTTATTCCACAAACGTTAGAAAAATACAGTTTTCCATTATGTGGGCACTTCAAGTGAACCGAGCTGCTGCTTACAGCAAATCTGCAGTTCTTTCATTTAACATAAGGGGCTGTGTATGGTTTTAAAACGCAAAAATCTCTACGTGATGAAATCACTCTAGTTTTGCCACCAATTTCAAAAGGTGCTCGCCTACAATATAAAATGCTGCAACATTTTCACTTGTTCATTTTCATTTGTTTTCCAAACGATTAACTGATGAAATAGCTAATTAATTACCGAGTGGATCTGCTGAGATAACGCGCCCCTTGACGTGAGAAAAGCCAAGGAAAGGCAATAAATCACAACGAAGCTTTCAGACAATTAATGAGAGAACAAAAGGTTTAGCTGGTAACACTGATGTTCAGCTGGCCTGTCTACAACACAACACGGACCCTCAACCATTTTGGTCGGTAACACAGGCAAATAAACAAACGAGCGAGCGATTTCCGCGTCTCCTCCGCTTTCTCCACTCACTACAGCCAAGCAACGTTCAATCTCGGTTCAGGCAAAATATGTGTACATTTCAGTACTCAAACTCTCATTCGACGGGACTAAAGAACTCATACACACAATGGCGAAGCGACCGAAATGCCATTTTGATGGTAATGTTGTCGTGTTGTATGGATATCCTGTCTGTTATCTTCACACAGACGTCGACATTAGCGCGGACGGACCCTGTCCACTGTGCGAGCGGCGCGGAAAGCCCTGTCAGCCGCCACAGCTCGACACTGAAAGGAAAACAAAACGCCTGGAACTGGATAAAGCCCCGTGTAGCCCACCACATTCACCCAGCGACCACATTCTGACCATGTGCTTGGTTGTACGTGGTCAGTAGTAAGACGCGAATTATGCGCTGAACAGTTTCAAATATCACAGGCTATATTATCTTGTGTAGGTTATAAGATTTGTATTTTATAAAGAAAACGTTTGAAACAGGTAGTATTTGTCGACAATTTACCAACTACAAAACAGTCGAGCAAACGCCTGCGTGAACAACACGACCAGGAAGAAAGATCTTGCTTGGTTAAATCCCCCTCATCGCCAACACAACGCCGTGCTGCCTTCCGCACCACTGTGTGGAGCTGCCTTACTCACTGCGATGGTACACAACAAATAACCGTCCAGATGTCGCTCTCACGCACACTTGTTGGCCTTCTGATTAAAGTATTCATCTTGGCCACCAGTGATACTGAGCGAGTACGCGATGAGGGTGTAACTATGGCGAGTAGACGCGGCCCGACAGCCCGTTTGTTTTCGTCCCCGTCGTCGAGGCCTACGTGGGGCAGTCACCGACCGCGGTCCCCAGTGAAGAGGCGAGCCGGCCTGCCTGCCCTGTCACTCGGCTTTACTTTTTCACCGCTTACCGGGTCCGAGCGCTTCCATGGCCGAGGGCTCTCTCTCCGTCTCTGTCCCGGCCCGGCGGCTCCGTACCGACACTGAAATTGGGGGCGGTATCTCGAAGCTTAAGGTGGCTAATTTAAGAAATGGAAGGATGCGTAGCTTGTCCAGGGATCGAGCTCGGGCTGCGCTGCGTTGTGTGATTTAAAGCGGATCCGTGGGATTTGTAACCGCGCATGCGTGGGAACTGCTGCGTTATAGCGCGCATGCGCGCTAATGGCAAACAGGTTCCTAATAAATGTGACCACCTTGGTGAAGCTCTTATTAGGCTGTAAACACACCTTGGTAGTGCACGGGAAGGGTTTGAGAGGACCGATCTCGCAATTTCATTTACCTGAAAAATTAAGTGATTGTCTGAAAGGTATGATTTCAAACATAGACTTTAATTAACTCACTGCAGTACACAGCTGTTGCATGTAGACAGTATAAAATATGTGGTACAGTAGTTGGATGGGGAGTTTTCAATTAATTCAGAAAACATGGAATTATTCCACCGATTTTTAACAATCTGTTTAATTAAATAGTTAAAATGTAGATAAATAAGAATGGTTTGAGGTGAAATGCTCCTTTCTAGAGATACTTATAGAACTGTTCACACCGTGAACCAGATGAATGAGCAATTTAATGCGTCTAAAAGCTGCTCACCAAGGGTTCACAAAAAGCTGTTACATAAAATGGTTACGATCTCGTATATATAGAGATGCATACATTATTTATGCAGCGACTAAAAAAGGCCCCGAACATTTTTTTAATTTAACATAATTTTAGCGTTAGCAACCTCACCTATGAAATAACTCAAAAGACACATGTACTGAATGATCGTTTTGTACGAGATTCTCTGCAATGCAACATTTCACATCCAAACCAAATTGAATAAATCTGCTTTATGCTGAATTATGCAGATTTTTTAAAGGGTGGGATTCCTCTTTAAGCCCGAAATGAGGATTGTGCAGCAGGAAACCTTACTTCTCCTTTTGGAAGGCTAACTGAGAAATTCTGCTTCTTCAAATACTCCCCCGTTCTTTCTTCGGTTTTCAGTTTTCTCCGTGTTTAAAGGCCTGGTTGTTTGTTGGCGCTAAATAAAAGTTATATTTTGGAGGAATTAGTCATTCTTCCACCCTATTTTCGGAGGTTTATGGAAGAAAGGAACAAGCCTCTGCATTGGCTGTGAGAATGACTGAATTCTCCGTCTTGTTTTCTGTCCATAGTGCGGACTATATTGTGCTAAACACACTGAACTATTGAAGACACCGCGCCTTTCCTAGTTTAAAGTTCTACCCAATCAACGCGCTTTTAAGACGCATAATAACCGCTCGACCAATAGGAGCGCTTGAACTCAGTGACGGACAGAGACAGGCGTAGCACTGCTTACCAGCGCGCGAAAGCTTGAAGTTGTATTCGTTTTAGAGGATCAGGCGGGAGATGAACTTAGACGTCCCTTTTATACCGATATAATACTACTTCTCAGTTATATATTGTGTGTAGTACACGCTGCCGTGTTTTGTACTTTAATCAGCCGTTACGGTTACCGATTTTTGTGCCGTTCATGTGTTTTCGGACCGAATAACAACCGGACAAAAGAGATGAGCCTGCTTCCTTCCGAGCGGGTAACGTATCACATAAGTGTAGATGCATTGTGTCATTTAAAAAAGACAATTTTACTAGAATTGTCGTGTTTTGAGTCCAGTGTAGCTATCGACCTAAAATGTTGCGTTAAAAGTAACTATTAAGTGTACTTTGCTTTGTACTTAGCTGACTTGCTAAGCGTAACATTAGCGCCCAATAAAGCCGTAGTAAGGCTGGCTAACAGGCTAGGTTAGGTAGCGTTAACTTAGGTTGACTTACGAGATATTTTGGATAAAGTGCCAACTACATAGCTGGGTGGCTGGTTTGGTTTTTAATTAGCACATTTGTTCACAAATTCTGTGTCTGTACATTTGATATATATGGGTGTCTGTTTTCCGCATCTCACTAACATGTACACTTTGTCATTTTCGTGTAACGTTAGTAAGCTGGCTAGAAGTTAGCCACGTAACCTAGCTCTAAAAATCAAACAAAAAATCATACTCTATGTTAGCTAGCTGCTAATGCTTATAATTCTGGACCTGGGTAAGTTAGTAAGAAGGTTTTCATTCTTTAATATGATTTGGGTGAAGAAGGTAATTGTTTATTCTGTAATATCCCTCAGTGCTGTCTTCATTGTCTGTGTTGTAGTTACGTAGGTTAACCTAGCTAGTTTATCATAAAATGTGCCTAAAACGCTGTGCCAAATGTCAGTCAGAATTATTCACTGTAAATAATTTCCCGTTATCTATGTATAAGTTTATTATGTTCTTAGGGGTCAACTTTGTGCACAAAAGTAATCTCAATGTGGGTTTCTATTATGAATTAGTGTTTGGCATGGGACTGACTTAAATGTTTGCTATATACCAACTGTATAGCCCGTGGATCTCCCTGTTGAGAGCCCAAAGGCTGAAAGTGACTCAGGTGACTTAGACAGTGGAATGGGCTCACCTATGGAGGAGGCTGTGACTGAGACGGTCACTGCCACTGAGACCCAAGAAGGTAATTTGAGACATTGGAAGTATTACATGTATTAAATGAAGAATTTGAGTAAAATATGAAAACACATTTCAGATTAGCTCTCAGAGGTGGTTGATTGATGTGCTGACACTCAAATAGCTGGTCTTGATGTGTTTCTTTTGCATTTTTGTATTTTGTCATATTTCACTAAAACTAACTAAGTACTTTGTTTTTCACATAATGTCACATGAACCAGAAGACCTATTCTGTCAGAGATTTTCCTAAACTCAACACTTGAACATTGTGTGTCAGTCATGTTGTGAGTTATAAAGACTTATTTAAAGTTTTGGGCCTCAGATTCAGATGATGAAGTCGCTGTGAACCGGAAGTCACGTTCTGTGAAGGTTCTGCAGGACAGTGACAGCGAAAGGGAAGAGGAGGTGACTGGGATGGCAGAGGCTCTTATCCTGTCAGAATCCAGCGGGGAGGAGACAAAGACCATTAAGAGTAAACAAAACAGAAAAGGCCGGGGAAAGAAGATATCCCGCATTTCCATGGGCAGTGATGAGAGTGAGCCAGAGAGAGATGAACCTAAGGAAGTGAAGAAAAAGAGGGAGAAGTCACAGAGACGCAAGGATAAAGAGGAGCGCAGAGGTGCTTTAATGAAGCGACTGAAAGAGAAACCAGGCACCGCTGAAGTGAGTTGGATTTGGTCTTTCAGAAAATCACTGTTGATGCGTCATTTTGCCGTTGTTGACAATTACTTGTCTTCTTTTTTTCCAGACATCCTCTTTGCCCAAGACTCTCAATGACAGTGGCTGTCTGCTTGGTGATAATGATCTGTTTGATGCCCAACTGGAAGATGACACAGCTGATGGGGGGAGGAAGAGGATGAAGAGTCTCTAGATGCCATCAGAGATGCTGTGAAACAGAGGGCCAAGGCCAAGCACAAGGTGGGAGCAGAGGACATATCCCTGAAGCAACTGAGGGTGGGAGTACAGGGCGGTATCAGGAGAATTTTCATGCTGAACTTTCAGTATGTAGTATGCAGTATCTGCATGCAGTTTCTGGTTGTGAACCCTCACATTTATTATCTGATTAATTACAAATAACTCAAGGTGATATTTACACTAAAGACTTAAATAATTACAAATTTACACAAGTCTTTGAGTATAACCAATTATATGGACATGCTCTGTTGAATATAAAACCCTGGCCTTTTTACAGAGCAGATACTGTCAGTCAATACATGAATGTTGTTGGTTGATGTAGGGAACTGAGTTTTAGTTTCATTTTATAAAATTGTGTTACCGAGATTTAAACTGTGAAACTGTAACATGCTATTCTTCTGTCATTTGCTTATTTTCGTACAGCCTGGCTGCCTTTCTAGAAAAGTGTTTTTCAAATTGTTTAATTTCAGCTGGGGGGAAATAAGTGTTTTTAGCAGTGCAGAAATCTATCTGGAACATTACTGTGCCATTGACAGTTATTTATTTCGCCTGACTGCAGCCTCATCTTCATGACTTTGAAGATGATGAAGTGGATGATGAAGACAAACCCCAGCGCAAGGTATAAGGCATTTATTTTTTATTTTTTTCCCCTTTTTTCCATCTTGTTTGATTTAACCATGAAGCTCATCTGTTTGGATTTTGTTTATAGGAGAGAAAAGCTGCAAAGGCAAGTAAAGAGGCCATGAAACAGCTCCACAGTGACAGCCAGCGGCTTGTGAGAGGTTAGTGGTTGATAAGTGGCTGAATTTTCACATTTTAATTACCTTCAAGTCATGTGCATCTGCTTGTACTGACTAGGGACATCCATGCTGCAAGGGATATGCTTAAAAAAAACTTTTGAGACTTGGTGTAGTTTAGGGGTTTTTATTAGTTATTGGATCAGTCACTACAAAGTGCCGCAGTGAAACCTGTACCAGAATTATTTCTTCCACTGTATTAGGTGTAGCTGACCAGTCCGATTAATAAGGGTTTAATTTTCTGAACTGGAATTAGCAGCAACTTAATTCAGTGTTGCATGTAGTAGAGGTGGTCGATATGGCGACAATTTAAAATATGAAAAACTGTGAATACTATATTTTTTATTCAATGTTTGGCATACTGTGTTGCACTAAACAGAACTAATTTTGTTTTTTTGTTTTTTTTTATAAGAGAACATGCAGTTGGTCAGTGTTCTTCAAGTACAGATGATACACACTATGTTCAGAAATACATATTGTGTTGTATTGTGACTTATCACGATAGCAATATATATTGTCCTATTGCCCAACCCTAGCAAGTAGTCACTTTCATTTCTTCATTATTTTAATCTCACTCATCTTGTGATTTCTCTTGTCAGAGTCAACTATAGGGCTACCATACCACATGCCGGAGCCCAAGGGCATTGACCAATTCTTCAAAAGAAGAACTCGTCCCCAGGGACATGCCATGGCTTTGTTGAAGTATGTATATTTAGTATTATGTTGACTTGTGTACACCAAGGGTACACCAAGGTGCTGCTGTAGAAATGGAACACTAATTTAGAAATAAGTAGAGCTAGAGTGACAAGTCATTTTGGGACCTATACAGTAACATAAACAACCTTACCTTACCAGTAGCAGGCTTAAATTTGGAACAGTTTTTGTTCTGGCAATTCTTAAATGTGGTGTTTGTTTTTTTTGTTTTTTTTTTTTGTTTTGTTTTGTTTTTTTTATTACATGTGGCGCCATTATTATCTCTGTCTTCTATTTCCTTAAATTAACTTTGATATCTGTAAACCTCCTTGTCATCAAGGTCTGCAGAATACCAGGCCTATATCATGGAAGCATCTGCAGCTGCACCAGCCAAAGAGAGCCAAGCTAAAGCACCTGAACAGAACACAAACCTTGTGGCAGACCCATGCCTGGATGAACCGCACCCAGCCAGTTGTACCCAAAGTGAGGCCATGACCAATGAGGAGGAAACCCACAATGCTATTGGAACCACTGAGGACCTGCCAGGGATTGAAGCAAGTGATGAGCTCCAAAGTACTGAGTTTATGGAGGAGGAGAGTGCTCCTCCTGCAGTGAAGGTGCCTGTGGGGTCTGAAGCTCCCACACAGGACAAGGAGGAGCCACAGGTCTCAATTCAGCAGGCTGAGTCTGAGACAGGGAATTCAGAGCAGGTTGGCTCTTCCCTTGCTGAGCCGGGACCAGTAATGCCCAAACCTAAGAAGGATAAGCTGGCTAGACTGCGTGAGCTGGGTTTGGAGCCTCCCCCAGTAGCAAAGCTGTGTGCAGATGATGGAGCTTTTGTCCAGCTGGAGCCTCCTCAGGCGAACCCTGGTGAGGGAGTGGAACTGCAAAACTCATGTTTACTGCGTACTGATGTTTGTTCCAGCCTGATTTGTTTGTAGCTTGGAGTATTGTTACTTTTAAACTTTTATTTTCAATGTTGTGTGTGTTTTTTCTTTCTTTCTTTCCTATGGCTGGTTACTAACACGCATAATGTAATTTAATGTTTCTTGTCTGTCTGTTACATAGCTCTGGAGGCGCTGAAGGAGCGTTTTCTGAAGCATATCCAGCCTGCTCCACGCTCTACAGGAGAGCGCTTACTAAATATAAATGTGGTGAGAAAGGACAGTACCCCTTCTGGCCAGGAGGAGCTACATGCTGAGTCCATCACTATCACAGTGAATGAGGGGAAGGAGGAGCCAGCACACACTAAGCCAGGTACAAGAGCAACAACTTGCCTTACCTCAAACGTTGCCTACAATGTTTGAGTATTTGTTATAAGGCTTCCTCTGAGTGTTAGCCTCATACTCATTCCTAAAATATCTGCCTTTCCCTCTGTCTTAAGGAGAGCGATTGGTTCTACTGAAATCTGAGCTGCAGAAGGCCATGGCAATCCGGCGGCAGGAGGAAAGGGAACGTCGGGCTGCCCTTTATCGTCTGGACAATGAAGATTGTGAAGAAGAGGAGGAAGAAGAAGAGATGACTGAATCAGAAGAAGAGGTACTAGTACTTTTTTTTTTATTTTACGCTGTCTGTTATTGTTTTTTACAGTATCCTTTCATTTTAATGCTCATCATATTGAACGCTTGTACACAGATACTTTTCTAAAGTCTTCCTAAAGAGTTTTTCGCAAGATTAATGGAATAGCCCCATAACCTGAAATTGCATTTTATGTCCCTGTTATTAATCTCATAATTCTCCCATCCAAACTATCACTTTCATAGGGTGTTGATGAGTTGCTAGGTGATGGTGAAGAAGAGAATGGTGGTCCTGGGGAGGAAGAGGAGGGCGAAGATGAAGGTGGAAGAGAAGAAGAGGAGGGCGACGAGGGTGAAAGAGACAATGCAGTCGAAAAAAGTCCCCCTGGTTTGAAAAGTCCCTCTCCAACCCCATACACTGATGGCACTCTAATGTTGTTTGCAGGCAGCTCGTGCTCTCGGACAGGGTAAGTTTGTGCCACTGTGAGTCAGTGATCACTAGAGAAATAAAGTAAGCCTTTTTAAAATCTGAATGTGGGTTTTGTTTTGGGTTTTATTTATTTATTTATTTATTTATTTATTTATTTATTTTTGTTTTTCCCCCAGGGATGGTGTTAGGCAGTCTGGACAAGCTGGTCAAGAAAATGATGGGAAATTAGGTGAGTTTGTAGCTTTTTCAATTTGCCTACTTTCAAATATAAACCAGCTGTGAGTTGGTTATGATGATAGCTGAATTTGTATGGTTATGTGCTGATAATCTTCTTTTAAAAACAAAGTCATTTTTTCCACAGAGGATGAAGATGCCTTCTCTCTGACTAAAGAGAGCAGTCACAACAGCAGCTTTGAGCTCATTGGCTCCATGCTTCCATCATACCAGCCGGTCAACCGGGCGGCAGGCAGGGGTCTATCAGCAGGTGCATTCCGTTCACCTTCTCCCTGCCTCTTCAGACCCAGCTTTCTGGGCTCAGCCTCCAAGGTCAGTTCATTGGTACCAGCTAACGTTCCTCTTCACATTGACTTTTACAATTAATTTGCTTTTACAGCTCCTACCTGTATGCATTCCTTCCCCCTCCCCCCATTCAGGTTATGTGCTTCTTGTGTCTGTCCTGAAAATGGAATAAAGTACAGACAGAATTCAGGCTTCAAGATGGTTACTACTGCTGTTTTTACGTTTAGTTAGTATGTCATACAGTGTCAAAAGCACTTAAGAAATCTCAATAATTGTTATTTTTCCCCCTGAACTTATCTCTTCTGCTCTTTCTCTTCTTCATCATTGTCATCCTGGCTGTTGTTTCAGAGCTCTGGCAAGCTGTCAGAGCCCTCTCTTTCCCTCCCTGTGGAGGACTCCCAGGACCTGTATGCTGTCCCCTCACCAGGTGATGCCGGTCCTGTAAATGACTCGCAAGGCCCCTTCTCTCTGGAGGATGACACACACTCTCAGCTGTTAGACGCAGACGGCTTCTTAAATGTGGGGCCCCGTGGCGGTCCAAGCCGCTCCCACAAACGGCAGCTTCTCTTGGATAACCTGGATGAGAACGCCATGGATGCCAACATGGGTGAGCTCTTGGGACTCTGCTCAGGGGGTTTTGGCTCAGGGCAAAGCCAGCCTGCGGCCAGCCAATCTGCAGCAGAGGACGAGCTGCTGGGCCTGTGCTCTGGAGCCTTCACCACTCAGCGTGGAGAGGCTGCTGACAGACCCAGAGAGGAGAGAAGAGCCATAGAAGTAGAGACTAGGAGCGGGGAAAGTCATGAGAGCTCAAATGGGGACATGGATCAGCTGCTTGCTCTTTGCTCGGGCAAATTTACAGGCAGCCAAGGTGTGTTCTTTTTCAGTGCCCTTTCATCCACATTAGTTGTTTTATTAAGGCTTGGCCTTTTAAACTGAAGTTTTTTTTTATCATCGGTTTGTGCATTATTCCTGTCCTTTCAGCTGCTTCTCCAGGACGATCGATCTCAAGTCCTGCTCTTGAAGATGCGTCTGACAGGTAAAAGCTAAAGTGGATGCAGTGATCCTCATGCTAGCATCATTTTAGCCCCAAAGCACTCAGTATGTTGCAAATCATTAACAAATTGTGTTTTTAATAGGGTCAAGAAAAAGGAGGAAGAGGAGGAGGAGGAAGAAGAAGGCAATTCTGAGTTTCGACTCCTATCGGATGTGGACAGTCTCAGTGAGAAGGTAAGAAAGAATGTGGAATTTGCTGAAAGATTTGCATCTGTTAGAGATTAATTGCATATCATGAATTCAATTTAACAAGATGTGCTTGCAGGAGGAGAATGAGGATGAGGAGGACTCTGATGTTGAAGAAGACAATGATGACGAGGAGAGGGAGGCAGTTTTTGGGCCTCGCCCAGGCAAAAGGAAGATGTATGTCAATTTAGTACTGTAAATGGAAATTCATCAGTTCTGTACTACACAACTGTTATAAAATGGCACAAGCCTAAAGAACATTGACACCGAGTAGACTCATTAAACATCACCAAATGTATTTAGTTAATAAGTCTGCTATATTATTAAGCCACTTACTCTTTAATGATTTAGTGACATTTCTATAAACTTTCCTCTTGTCTCTGTCTTTAGACGCATGGCTGAATTTGTGGACTCCGAGGCTGAGCTGTCGGGCAGCGATGTGGGTAGTGAAGATGAGGATGAGGAGGGAGGTGATGAATATGAAGAAGAGGAGCTACAGGAGGAACTTCCATCAGATGAGGAACTGATGGACCAAGTCAACAAAATCCACATGTAAGAAGGAACCTGAGGAAATGCTCAGCAGTACCGTACTCTGCTTCTCCTGTTAATTGCATTTGCAGTTTCTGTAATATGAACTGAGTGCATCTTATATTGAACAATAAGTTGATAAGTATTTTGTGTATTATTCTTATGCTCTGGAAAACTAAAAATGATATAGGAGAATCCCCAAACCTTTACACTAAGAATATGAAGATTAATGAATATGCGCACAAGTATGTGCAAACTATAAATGCCCCCTTGCCTCCAGGTTCACAGACCCCTTCCCTAGACTTCACTGGCAAGATATGTGGGCTATTGGTAAATGTTGAACAGTGCAGAAAGTAGAGCAGATTATGTAGCGGGCTGATAACCTGGCTCAACACACCACAGAACTGGTTAGATTGTGTCTTTTTGTCATTCCAGCACCAATCACTTGACTTCACTCACTCTTTGAATCTATCCTCTAAAATTGTGACTATTGAACCTGTGTTATGTATGAAACTGTTTTAGTCTGCTCACTAAGCTAATGCTAGTCTCTTATGCTACCAGTGACTAGTGTGGCCAAGGGCTCAATGCACAAAAAAATATTCACTGCCTCAGATTTGAGTCTTTATCCTGAAAGCTAAATCAGTGAGGCCTCCGTGAGCTGGAATTGGACCTGTTGTGAAAGTCTTCTTGATAACATCAGTCTCTGGTGCTAATAAGGAAAGTAATTTATAAAGCTGTGACATGCTAAGCAACTGCTACTAGGATAGGTCTACACAACATTTTTTCTAAAATATAGTTAGGGTTAGGTGTGGAATAGAAATTTGATAGTGTCGTAATTTTCAAAGGAAAAATGTGATCTCTGTAGTAACACAGTTGACACACATACCAGTATATAATCATAATAATCCATTATTATGTAAAGAGGTAACCATTTAAAAAAAAAAAATAATTGAGTGCAAGTGGTCTTTACTGCAGTTTTTGCTAAATTGCTGGCATTGATCACTTAGGCTACCAGACTTGGTACAAGCTAATGACTTTAAAAATTGGTGTATCATGAAAATCAGTAGTAGAGATGTACCACTAGGTGGCAGTCTGTGCTAGAAGGAGCTTACAACACCAAATAAGTGATTTGAGGCATCTTGACTGTATCTTGAACTTTAGTGGTTTTATAACTGTCCCATTTGCAAAACCTGTGTTGCTAGCTGGTGTTTTGAGCTGTGTCTGTGTTTTTAGGAAGCAGGTCCTGGATGATGACAAACGGAAATTGCGCTTATATCAAGAGCATTATCTGGCTGATGGAGATCTACACTCTGATGGACCTGGTCGGGAGCGGCGATTCCGGTGGAAGAATATGGGTGAGTTTAGAAAAGGTTTAAGTATATACTCGGATATGGAGGCACTTGTTCTTGGATTTGGATCTGATCTTGAAAAGTTGGTAGTAAACTTTAATGTGAGAATAAAATTTGTTAACTTTGATGCTTGGTTGGGGTTTAATATTTCAATTAATTTTTCAATCCATGATCAGATGATGGCTTTGAGTTTGGGGTTGGTGCTGGTGATGAGGAGGAAGAGGAGGACGATGAAGTGGATCAGAGTGAGCTGCAGAGGCGCAAGGAGAGGCTGGAGAGAGAGCAGTGGATGCGAGAGCAGGTGTGTGTAAGCATGAGGCATGAAGAAAAATAATTTGTTGAATCACATTGCACCATGATCTCACTAGCAAAACACGCTTTACCCTTTTTGTAACGTTTTAGATGTTTCATCTCACAATACTTTCATTTGAAAATTTTCTAAATGCTATTTAAGCCCACAAACTGTCTTTTTTTTTTTTTCCTCTTCTAGTCTGAAGCTCAGGCTAAGAAAGGAGAAGATTTTGAAGAGGAGGATGAGAAGATAGGAGAAGAGGACAGCCAGTTCATGAAGCTGGCCAAGAAACTAACCGCCAAGACACTCGGCCAGAGAGGTGAATGCAGTGTGTGTGCATGCATATGTGTTTATGTCCTAGGTGTGCTTCATGAGTCTGATCTTAACTCTGTGCTGTTTGTAGCACCCACTGCAGTGCCCCTGCAAGAGAAGGCAGCTCCTAACACCAACTCTTTCCAGAAGCCCTATCAGCCAATGGTCAGTATTACTGTGATTTACTTAGACAGAGAACTCTTATTGAAGCATACTTTAATTGTCCCAAGATCAGACAGATATTCTGTATGTGTATTGTATGTGTAACGTATGTGTAACTCCCTTTTCAAAATTGCTCAAAATCACTACCAAGATGGGTGAAATTCCTTAAATGTGACATGGTAGGAGTCAGACAGTTTCTCAAGTCAGTTGATAAAATTTGTGCTGTGTTGGACATGTTACTGTCTTTGGGTGGAGGTTGGAATTATTTAAAAGAACAGGGCTGTTGTTTTGTTTCTAACTTTTGTTTGTGTCTCTCAGGTGAAGAGAGGATCTTTGCTCAGTCAGCCTCGGGCAGTGCTGCAGAAGTTAGCAAACATCTCAGACAGTAACCCCCTAGCCCCACGTAACACACGAGGATTCCTCTTCCAGACACTGTCTCCAGAGAAAGAACCGTCTGCATCTGCTGGCCCCAAGAAACAGGTACTCCAGCACAGTGCATGTGATATGATCATATGAAACTGTTTACAGCAAAGTTATGTCACATAGTCTGGAAGATGGATTTAATATATAATTCTAAATGTAAACCACTAGGTGGAGCTAAAGAGTTTTTGTGGCCTGGTTAGGAAGCTGCAGCCAGTCTTCGCTAGCTGTTATTCCTGACTATTTATTTTGTCAAACCAATGTTCAGGTTAATACATTCTTTTAAATCACTGTTTGTCAATCAGGAAATGTCTTTGTATGGTAAAATTAGTTATGTATACATTGGTTAGTGTCCTGTAAGGCCATTGCTAAACCTTTTTTCTCATTTAAAAATTTGGTTGATAATGTTGATAATGTCTGTGTCTGCTTGATATTACAACTTAATTTGAGGATTCTTACTTATGGTTGTCACAGTCACCTGTGTTTGTCACAGGTACCACAAATGTAGGTGGTTTAGCATTCTACTTCATGAGTAGTGTGAAATGAGAATTCACTAAATTAAGTTTTGAACGATTAGAAAAGGTGCTCATTCTGTTTAGTTCTAGACACCTTTTAAAGCTCTGTAGCAAAGTTCTAAACACTGTTAATAATTGATAACTGGATGATGCTGTCCATGACTTTGGATATCCGGGTATATTGCAGTTTTTCCTAACCTTTTCCCCTGAACTTTCCAGATGAAGAAAAGAAGTCAGCCAGAGTCCTTTACCCCTGTCGCCAAGCGACCATGTCGTGAGAACTCTGTGAAGATCCCTGGACCTCCGAGAAGTGTTTTCAGTTATTTGGAGAACTGAAGCTCCTTCCAAACTTCATATCACTGACCTCCAACAAGACTATTTTTTTTAGCTTTGGCATATCTCATGTTGACAATATAATCTTGGCAGCATGCGTGACGTAATCCAATTTTTTGACACAGCTGTTTACATTTATTTGTTTTAAATATTTTATCTTGTAAATATTATGAATTTTTAAATTGATGTTTTCTTTACTTGTTGTAAAATTGTAAATTAAAAGTATATTTTAAACTTGCTTATGCTTTTAAAGTGTGGTTTGTGGTTTGACTGGTAAGCTGGATGGCCCTATGATTATACTTGGTTAGTTTGTGGCCCTGCTTTGCTAAAATCAATGTAATTCAATGATTAATTTGTTATTAGAGCTTAGTGTGGTTTTAAACATATTCTCCACCATGTAACACTTATGTTATGCTGCAAAGCTCTTGGGAAATGGAGCCTCACCTAGATTCTCAGGAGATTTTAATTAATCATCTACCATTACATCCCTCTTGAGGTTCTAACTGCCATGATTTGTAATTACCTTCATGACTGTTAAATCTCATGAACTCCTAACCTGTTTTTTTGCTGTAGTAAACCTGCCTTATGCTCATGCTGACTGTCTTACCATGTTCTCGTGTCAAATATTCTGTACATACTGAAGACATTCAGTAGCCCACCACATCTTTTAATCATGGTCTTATCTAATTGACCTTTTCATCTGGGTGATCCAAGTGCCTCTATATAATCTTGTGTGTAATTTTCAAAGTTCCATTGTTGCATAGTGGAGTACTGGTTCCTCTAGCTTCCTTCCTCATGTTTTCCTATTTACAACTATTCCCAGCTTGTTTACTGAGGGGTCTGAAAGCTAAGTTTTTGTGTGTATAGAAACTAAATGGAATTAGGAACATTTATTTGTAAAACCAGGCCTAGAATTAAAGTCAGGGCAGCCACTTGTCAGCACAATAAAAATGCTTTGGATTTCTTCCCCACCCTCCTGCTTCTTCCTGTGAACTAGCAGGAGTGGTGCTGTGGGATTAAACTGAGCAGATGAGCATTTAACACCAGTATCCCCAAGCTCAGTCTCTCAGGCTTCAGCTACTCTTCTCATGACCTGCTCCAACTTGGGCGAGGGATGAGATAATTGTAACATAACAAAACGGATGGCTAAGTATGAAGCAGGCCTTGTGGTGTGAAGCCCTAATGATCCCTTTATCTTATGCTTATTAAGTAAGTCCAGTGTTCTTGGGCCGCAGAGGCAGGGGGCCCTCATTAATGAGGGCTGACTGTTAGGTGCTGGGTTTTGAAATGGATCAACCTTGCTCCAGGCTGGCTGTGGACCTTCTCTTTTGCCTGTAATTTTTATGAGGATATTCAATTTGAGAAAAAAAAAAAACAGTGGCAGCTTCTGGCCTGGGCACTGAGAGCTGTCTGAGCAGAGCTCAGCTTCATAACTCAGGCCTCCATAAAGCGCTGAAGAACTCGTTCTCTCGCAGCTCACTGTCAGCGTTAAGCTTAACAGACGGCTTTGCTGGTGGCTGCCAACTCCGCGCTGCAGACTCCGTTCAGGGTCGAGAGCTACTGGGCAACTGTTTGAATGTGCAGTAGCTGCCACGTTGGATCAGAGCGAAGAGTGTTGACAGCAGCGCCCTTTGGGTGCGTCCCTATGGGCTCTGTCACTGCAGCTGAGCTGAGGGAAATGGGTCATTACTGCAGGCGGCGCGCAACCAAATCGGCGCTGTTATTTACTGGCAACGGCGAAGCTTCCTTCCCCTGCAAGGTTTTATTTAATAAATGAGTCTGGTCGTTGCTCATAATGCTCTTTGTTTTAAAGGGAAATCCCACCGATTTATCCAAATTTTTGCTTAATTCCGTTGTTGACATGTAAACAAAGTAATTCAGAGTTAACTGATATAAAATGGTGCGCTGTAGAGAAACGTACACACTCGGTTTTCTTTACAATGGCAGTGATAAGGACCATTGGTATATTTGTATACAATGCAAATATACATTTATATTTGATTTATATATTTTATTCTATGTATCTACGCAAAACGACCGGTGAACCCTAACTTGTCTCCTGAGTTTTTATATGTAATGCTGATAATGAAAGTTTTTTGGGGTACTATTTCGCTTTAACACCACATCATGTACCACTCCGCCATTAATGTGTGTGTTTTTTAATATGTATGTTTTAATATGGAAAAACTCCTTAAATCTATCATAAAACAATGTATCACGGGGCATGCGCGTAATAACTTTATATGAGGTAGCTTTCAGAAGTATTAAAGGGAAAATCCATCATTTAAAAAATTACGAATAATTCGGTTCTTGAGATGTACACAGATTCACTCAGAGTGGTTTGGTGTGAAAAGATTCATTGTAGAGAAATTTACAGACTCAGATTTCTTTACAGTGGTGATAGGAACCAGGGGTCGCCATGTCTACAACACTAACATAGCCATTTTATTTACTATCCAAAAGCACCAGTGTACCTATACGTGTCTCTGAGTTTTATACGTAATGTTTATGATTGTAGAATACTGAAAAAAAAGGTTTTCTTTAGGGACTATTTTGCCTTACAACACTCTGCATGTACCCCACCGCCATGAATGGATTAAAATAAATGGATTAAAATGCATATCCAATAATTCATGTAAAAACTTTCTGTGGGGGAGCTTTTAGCAGTATTTACCTCTTCACACGTCTGTAAACAATTCTGACTCAGTAAGTTTCTCTAACGGAGCATTTCACATCAAACCACTCTGAATGACTTTGTTTACGTCTAACGTTTTAATTATGTAGAATTTTTGAAAAATCGGTGGGGTTCCCCTTTAATTGCCTCAGACCTCTAATTATCCCTAGCCACTGTTCTGATTGGGTTGGGTTTGTCTAGAATGGACCACCTTACATCAAAACACCCTGAATGATTTCACTTACATTTATCTTAACGACTGAATTATGCACAAGTTAAAAAAAATAGTGCAACTCCCTTTTAACTGGAAAATTCTACACTTAAAAGTTATCTTAATAAAATAAATACATATTTAAAATAATAAAAATAAATAAACAAAACAAAGCTATAATTATATATATTTTTTTAAATTAAGGTTAAGTATGAATGAAGTATCACACTTATAATACTTCATACATACACGAATCTATTACAATAAATGCATTAAACATTTGTAAAACTTAAACAAGCACAGACACAAGTGTATTATGTCTTTAAGTCTTCAATCTCTCTTTACAATAATAACAGAAAAAATAATAGGCTATATACAACAACTTCTGTGTGTTAAAAAAGACAAAAGTAATTTATATCTATTTATATCTATCTAACTATATTCACTCCTCCCTCCCTTGTTTGGCTGATGTAGATGATGGTGCATGTGACGGAGCCGCGGGCTGCCTCCTTGTTTTTGATGTATTTTTCATGTGTTAAGGCCACTGTTGAGCCGCGGCGGAGCAGCAGAGCGCAGCCCCGAGCTGCAGCGCCTGAATGAGGACGTTGTTGGGCGGAGGAGAAGGGGAGAGATGAGGAGGGAGGAGGGGTGGAGAGGAGAGGGGAGAAGGAAGAGAGGAGAGGGGCATGGCGGAGAGGAGGAAAGGGGTAGAGGAGGAGAGCAGGAGAAGGGGGAGAGGAGGAGAGGGGGGCCTCCGCCGCCGGCCACTGCCTATCATGGGACGGGGAGCCAGTGTACTTAATGAGTCTGTCTGAAGTACAAACAACCAGCATACACACACACAAACGCACACATGCAGCACACACTGGCACACTCCGACCATCCTGCTATCGCTTTGGAAAAAAAATCACAGCGACAAAACAACCCGAGCCTGGTGCGAGAACACTGAAGTAGCCTCTGTAATAACCTCCACACCGTGTTGTACAGCACTGTTTTCTGGTTTTATATACGAATACTGGCACAATATGCACCCCAACGGCCCGCTTTAGTGCTAATGTTTCCCTGTTTCCGTTAAGCCTCTGCCCAGTTTAGGAAATGAGTCATGCTAGGCTAACGCTGTCTGGACGGGAGGAGGAGGAGGAGAGGTAGCGCGCGCGCACACACGCACACACACACACACACACCGTTGCAGAGGCTCGCCTGCTGGAAGAGAAAGAGGAGGAGGGCTAAACGGAGAAGGGGCTGCATCTCTTTCGCTCTCGAAAACGTTCATAACGAACGGTAAGACGAGGCCGTGTGTTTATCGATTCACGAACGTTGGTGCCAATCATTGTTTTATGCAACGGTCAGATAAATTGAGGGCGAGCGTTAGCTTGTGCTCGCCACGGTCGAGCCGAGGGAGAGAGAGAGGAGCTCGGAGATGGGGTAATGCTACCGCCGCTGTGCTCTTATGTAACCTGGACTGTGCATATTCCAGCGGAATATTTAATCCCTTTCAGTCTGCTTTTAGATGCTCGCTTTCATTATAATTGTAGAAACAGAATGGTAGTTGGATTTGAGCTGTGGCAAAGCAAATATTCTGACAATAGCGGCTGTTGAACTGGGTGTGGGTTTGGCTGTGGGTCACATCCTCCAGTCCAAACACTGATGGCTAGCATAGCGCTGTTTATATTCTCCAGAACTGAATGTAGCAGGATAGCTTAGCTAGCCTCTCACTGTAAAGGAACTGAAGCTTCCTTTTAAATCTTAATTAAGATCATTTTTAAAGCCTTTTTAAGGTCTTCTGCATGTATTATGGATTTCCACTCTGAAGTTAATGTCTGATACACAAAGGAACATTTGATTTTGCTGAAATGGAGAACATTATGGCAATAATACTGTAGGAATATAATTTTAGTTATTGATCAGATTCTAATCCATCATAACTACTTTAACTATGACAAACTGGAACATGGCTCTTCTTGTGTAAACTCATGAAGTTACAGATAGTCATTTGACTTTTCTGTCTCATCAAAATTTGGATTTTTTCTCCTCTTTTTTCAAAGAGCAACCCAGTCTCAGGCAAGACCAAAAATGCTGAAGCAAGATCGGCCTGCGAACCCTGTTTATGGAGGTCAGAAGCCTGGAGGTGCACCTTCAACGCTGCGTATCCTCAGCAGCAGCCAGAGGAAGTGCGAGAAAGATGGGAACTTCAACTTTTTGGGACAAGATGACAGCTCACTGACAGGAGATGAGAACCGCAACCAGATGCGCCCCCGAGCTCTGGGTTTGTTAGGTCGCGATGCACCAATCTCTGCTAACCACTATGGGCCTGGACCCCTCTCTCCCCTGTCCCGCCTGCCCTGCTGGAGCCCACTGGAGCCCCTGCCTGAAATCGAAAGTGGGGATGACACTGGAGGTAGAGTGCCTCCTGATGGAGCAGAGGAGGGTAAGATAGATGAGGAGATGAGGAGAGTGAGTGATGATGAAAAAGAGAAGGAGTCAGAGGATCCTGTGAAAGGTGAAGAAGAGGAGGAGGAAGAAGGAGAGGAGGTGATAGACTGGGACGACAGTGATGAAGAGTTTGAGTTCAGCTACAGGTCAGGGAGTTCTTCTCCTCTTAGCATCGAGAGCGGAGATGTCGCTGGAGGAGATTCCCTCAACTCCATTTGGGACCGAGTCTGTGTGGGAGGTCCAACCACAGAAAATGGGGATGCGACCACAAGCCCAGATGGAAAACAAAAGCGGGAAGAGAACAAGGAGGCAGGGGTGCGCCGCAAGAGCCTCGGAGGCTCCAGCCTGCTTGAAGAAGCTTCCTCAGACACGGACAGTGACCCCAGCTCTGAGCTTCCTGAGCTCATGGAAGCGGTGTGGACCCTCCAAGACCGGGAGAAGTTCAAAGCTCAGGAGATGGAAAAGCACCACGTCCAGCTGACCATGTACCGACGGCTTGCTCTAATCCGCTGGGTGCGCACCCTGCAGAGCCGCGTCCAAGAACAACAGAACCGGCTCCAGTCCAGTTTCGACATCATCCTCACCCACAGGAAAGAGCTGCTCCGGATGGGTGCAGCGGCAGCCACGGCTAGCCAGTAACAGCAGTATGGAGATGCACAGAGGAGAGTCATGAGACCAGCCGACGATCCAGGCAGAAACAAAGGACTATGAGCATTGACGTCATGTACAGGGAAGATTCTTCGTTTATCTCTCAGACTCTTTTAAACCATCAGTTTTCAGCTCCAGTCCTAGGGATCCACTGCCTTACACGGTTTCAGGTATTCCCTACCTGCACTGGGCCAACTCATCAGCTAATGATCAAGTCTTTTAGGAATTGGATGAGTTGGATCAAGAATGTTGAGCAGGGAATATGTAAAAATTTTGTGGGACAGCAGATCCCCAGGACTGGAGTTGAGAACCACTGTTTCAAACCAAATGACCTCCTGCATTCCAACTCCAACTCCTGTCATTCAAGTGTTGCCCATGTCTATGCTTCAAACTGTGCTTGTTTCTTTGGTGTCATGTGGTGTACATGAAGATTCACTGAAGCATCGGTGCAGAGCTGTGCATGCATGGCTTGTTGTTTCCTGACCATATTTGCTCACCTAAAAACCCAGTATGAATATCAGAGTCATATATCATGAAAATATATGTTCTAATATATTTGAAGAAAATGCTATGTTTATATAAATATCTTTAGCGTCTATTGGAGTTTATTAGATATGTCTATTTCTGTGTGTATGAATGAATAAATTATATTTAACAGTTTTATTTTGCTGTGTGTCCCTGTATAAATAGTTGTATGGATGTCTGTTGAAGTGAATGATATTGTGTTACGATAAAATTAAACCCAATTCATTGGATGAAATCTAGTAAAAACAATAACAAAAGATGTTTTGTCAGGCAATGAAAAAAGCCCTTCTGACTTTCTCTTAAGATTTTACCACTGCAGCATCACAACAAGGCAGTTATTAGCCTACATGACCTGTCTTACAATGGTCTATTTATTAGTGAATACACAATGTTCTTGTTTCTTATCACACGAGAAGGAAAGAGTACTGGATAAAGACTGATAGTCCCATAAAAACTGTGAATCTACATGGCACGGACAGAGTGCTATGTGTTTGCACAGATAGCAGCGTTTGTACCTAAATCCTCGGTGTAAGCATGGCCTCAGGGCCCAAGTCCCCTGCTCTGCGTCCCTGGGGGGCTGTGGGTGTGTGCATGAGTGCCTTGGGGCACCTGGTCCACTCCGGCCCGGTGAGCAGACCCATGGTCTGGTATTACCCTGTAGCCAAGCCCTGTGGCAAAACAGGGATAATCTGTGAGGTCTGCCACTGAATTTGGGGACCGAGGGCTTATGTTTGGTGCTTATCCTTCCTTTTTGTTTAAGTGAACTAGCCTGCAAATGTATAACACCATTAACATATTCATGAATGGTGTGTTTCCCTCGTTTTGAGCTAAATGTTGGACAAATAGCAAAAAAGGAACTACACGTTTGATTTAGCTTTCCTATCATAGGCCCACTAGTGTAAACTGGGGACAAAGGTTTACATGTGTTTGATTTGTGAATGTAGGAAATGCTGTATGGGTAATTGTAGGATTTGTGGGGTCTATGGCCTTTTGAATAGGGTGGATTTACTTGTTATGGGATATCAGATCACATGGGACAGTATGGTATCATCAGACATGTGTATCATAGGCTCTAAATGAGAAATACAAGTTTCCCACAAAATAATAATAAACAATAATGGCCTCTTAAATTGTCCATTCCCTGGTGTCTCATAACACCTGACTCCCCCTAACAGGTCTATCTCATTTTTTAGTTTGCTTTTTTCAGCATCTCAAGCTCCATGATGTAGCCACCAATCTACTTTTCGTTCCAATACCAAGTCATGTCAAGGCTGGAACCCATACCAACACAGATACTTTGAAAAATCTTTTTGAGTGTGTAAAAAGGGAGAAATCTTTCTGATTTCTACAATGAAGACCAGTGAAAATGTGGACATCAAAATAATATTTGAATGATTCCGCATTAGTATTAAATATACTGGCACACAGGCTGTTTAATGAAGTAATCCATACGATCTGCCATTGGAACATTCATTCAGTCAGTCGTGGATGTCGGCCTGTGTGGTGTACGGGGACAGGGAGAGAGGTGGTGGTGGAAGGAAAAGTAGTTCCCATTCTGTTTAACTGCAGCACACATTGAGTTTCATTTAAAAGGATAGATTTGCGGTTTGCTGCTTTAAATACATTCAATATCGACATTTTTATGTGAAGATCGACTCTCAGAAAGAAATGCCATTTTCGGAACCGATACCGAAGTATTGCCCACCACTAAGGCTAGCCAGCGCTTTCCTCGACGGAAGACGTGGCGTCACTCAGAGTTCAGTACCTCGCTGTGTCTTCGCCCAGACAGCATCGCTAAGTTTCAGATGCTCTGCGAGACTGGAGGTGAAGTGCGAAGGCCCCGCAGGGCGCCAATCCCTCTGCCGGGAGGCACCTCGCTCTTCCAGCATAACTGCTAATTTAGCCGTCTGAAAAAAACACGCACACAGAGGCGGGAAAATATACAGCGGAGTCAATGGCGGCTGCGAAAACGTTCCCGTCGGGGACCTGCACACAGCTGTGACACTCACAGGTCGGGGGCAAGTTGTTATTACTGTGTGAATACGGCCTGATCTTTTGAATACTGTTTACACCCAGAAGTACTCTTATTTTACTTCTGCTGCTCTTAACCTCGCAGGTCTGAGGCACTCTGACTTAGAGTTTTACCTCATAAACCAGCGGAGTCTCAGTAAACCAAAGTAATATGACTAGTAGTTCATCAGCAACGACAACACCCAACTCTACCAAATCCCCACTGGAACCGGTTTATTCTCTCGCGCATTGAGGCTCTAGTGTTTCTAGTTGGTGGTGTGTTCATTTGGTGCTAGACATGAATTAATACTGTTCATCACTTAAAGCGTCGTTTGCGTGCAATGTCTGAATCTGGCCTTACAACGAGCTCTGAGTAAAACATTTCCAACACTTTAACAGTCATTTGCGTGTGCTCAGTTTGAGTTACAGGATTTAATCGTTTCCAGATATGTTTAATTGTTCAAATGAGAGAAGTAACCAGCGGAAAAATACACAAATACAGTCCTCAATAGGGGCAACAGTGCAGACAGGCCGATTTAGCCTTGTGCTTGTCTGTAGTTTTATTTGGATGTGTTAGCTATTTCTCAACACTGGGGGGCAATGTTATTCATATGCATCAAATGAACAGGCCACCAACTGAAAAAAGGTTGAAAAGGCTCTCTCTCTCTCTCTCTCTCTCTCTCTCTCTCTCTCTCTCTCTCTCTCTCTCTCTCTCTCTCTCTCTCTCTCTCTCTCTCTCTCTCTCTCTCTCTCTCTCTCTCTCTCTCTCTCTCTCTCTCTCTCTCTCTCTTACCTCTACCCCCACCCTTCCTGATGTAGTGTGACAGTAAACTAGCCCCCAGCCCTCTGCTGGCGTGGAAACAATCAGCTTTGACAGAAAGGGGGTGGTAGGGGAATGGGGGATGTTTGCAGCCAGGGGCCAGTGTATGATGAAGTGGATGGGTAGATCTGTCTAGATAGATAGATAGATAGACAGACAGATAGATAGAATAAGCATGAAACAATAAAACACATTCAGTATACAATACAATATTTTCCTAGGTTTCATTGATTTCATATTAACTATTTAATCTTAACACTTTATAATTATGTAATGTAAAGCGATATAAGGAGTCCATGAAAGACGTTAGGGGGCCCAGTCATCACGGGCCCACCTGCGCTATTGGCCCCTGTCTGACTGACAGTCCTATGCTGTCAGTAACTCTGCATTTACACAGCTTATCGATGTTTATGTTCAAGTGAAAACTGTGTCCTCTTAACTAAGTGCACTATTTTGATGTCTCCGCATTTTGTAATGGTGTCCAAAAACATAATTACAGACTATGAAGTGCACTCAAACAATCCCACAATGCACCGCAATAAGTAGTGCACAACTGAAGTATCCTGGTAGATAGCGTATACCAACGATTCACTACTTTGTTTGGTTTGAAGATTCACACACAACTTCTGTGAGGAGGATTACTGAGCCCAGCTACAAGGCTTATGCCTTGGAATCTGCTGTTGCACAGTAATAAACAAACTTGTATAACATTGTTTACTGCCATCACAAACTTTGTTCCCTTTAGTAGTGTTCTACATAGTGATCCAGATTTTTGAATGTAGGGTATAGTGCAGAGATTGACAACCATTTTCTCCTTTCAGCAAAATATCAAGCCACCTTGGGAGCCGCAATATTTTGTGTTCATTTTACTATCTTGGCTGTAAATACGTCTCAGTATGTGTTAGTATAGGCTAACAAAATTAATATAAATGAAAACACAGACTTACATTGCTCTGCTTTAAGCTTTAGCTCAGCTATAGCTGGTCCGTAAAAGTAGAACAGTTTCTTGTAAAATGTCTCTCAATGTTTGATTTTTTTTAACGAGGCTGAAGTCAGATCCTCATTCACCAGCTTCTTGTTCAAATTTCCCGTTCTTAAGGTGGAAAGGGAAAATTTGAATGAGAAGCTGGTGCACGAGAAGCTGACTTCAGCTTTGTGACTTTTTAGTTTGACAGTTTCTCGTTAAACATATCAGGAAACCAGCTGGAGTCCTTATAAATGCAAATAAGTCCATTCGTCTCCAAAGTATCTGTGTTTGTCTTAAATCTTTCTCTTTGTCTTTTCATCAGCTACTGGAGAGGTGAGATTGTTATATGTGTTGCTATGTGTGACCAGCAATCTGTATGCCAATCTTCAGTTAAATGTTGGTGAATTAGCAGTTATACATTACCTCCAACGTTTAAGACCATTTATTGTTAAAACTGTGTTAGAATGATCAGCAGAGCTTTATTTTACAGCAAAGGAGGATCATTTTATTTTTACCTAAAAATCTGATTAAAAAAAAAAGCCTCATGCAGCTCCAGAGCCACAAGTTGCCGACCCCTGGTATAGTGACAAGTGACCACTTCGGATACAGCACTTGTTTGGGAATAGCAGAGCTTTCAGTTTATGTCTAAAACAAAGATTACCAGCTGCTTACATGTGGTCTGGGTTATGTATATAGACTTACACTTATTCACAGTAATACACATACACCCCATAATTTAAGTGAATATTCACTGAAGGATAAGCAAGGACAAACTGTTTAAATCTATGTTTCAGCCCCCATTTTCTCATAAGTTTTGTTGCCTGTCAGCGAAGACCGTCGCTGATCAGCTGTGCTCCTGTGGGGCCTAAAGCCTGTTGGTCTGGGTGGCTTCAGCTGCCTCGTCCGCTTTAACCAGCTAATAAATATGAAAACAGCAGGTTTAAACTTTTATTCGTTCACTGCTTGAAAGGATTATACCCCTCTATGGAGTCCCATGTAAATCTGGAAACCTCATAATGGCCAATGTTGTCCCATAAAAACGTGTCGAACAATAGAGGCTGAATGGGAGCTCTTTCACGCATAAGGGTTTTTTCGCAGGCGCTCATTGAGAGCAGGCCGGCGGCGCCCCGCCCCTCGATTATCTCTCTGTGCCGGTGAAAGGGCGCCTCAGAGCGGCAGGTGCGTGTGCCGAGCTCCGGGGGTCACAGCGCTGGCTAACGCGGGGGGAGCCGGCTTCGTTCACCCCGCACAGCTGCCGGTAGGAAATTTTTTCAGAGGCTGTCACTTCCATTTAGCCCCGCTCTTTCTCAGCCCTTCAGACGAAGTGCTCTCCTCTCGTGC